TGCTCAAGAAGCCGTAATCCAGCAAGGGCCAGGAGGGAGATGGGCCGGGAGGTGGCACTGGAACAAGGCCATCCATCGATTTCAGCGTCCCGTCCGGAGCCTACGACTAACTTTCAGAGTGAGGATGGGCGGGGGCTAGTTATACGGAAAACTAACACTTGTCTCTGCAGACAATCCGCACATTCGAGAACCGTGTGGCAGTTCTCTGTCTGCGGAAACTGGCAGATGCGACAACAACATCATTGAGAACTAGATGGATGGGAGACTTCTTGGTCCCCTGGATGGATCGGTAGGGGGTTGCACATGGAACCATGAGCATGTCTAGTTACAGCAGTGCTCTCTGTTTCACTGAGACCTTGTCATTCAAAACCATATCGGAGGCCCTGGGGGAGGGAAGGTCTGACGGAGCTGACCCAGCCTGCGGGACTCAGTCTGGCCCAAACCCAGTGACCGACATCTAAGGGGATTCAACACTCTAATGCTCCAGTCTCTCTCTCTGCCAGCAACAGACTAGCCCACCTCACCAGGTAACACTTCTCTCTTTAAATACCTTGAGATAGCGGTTTATATGTTTGTAGATGTTGTTGTTGAAAGAGTGTGCATGCACTCAGACAGGACCATCGTGTGAGACATGATGTTTCAGCATAATTTTGACGAGTAGACCTTTTGCTATTGTAATGGTTGTATATGTTGATTTCACCCAACATGAGTGCTGTGGAAAAAACATCTGTGTCCTTAGCTACAAACAGTAGGCACACAGAGCACGCCAGTGTTCTCAAATATGTAGCCTTTGCCTGCAAAAACAAACTTCAAAAACAGATCTTTGTTTGTGATTGAGATATTACATACTCCACGTCAGGTGAGTGGACATGCGACCTCTGTCAGCTCTTCAGTCCCTCACCCTCTCCGGGAACCCTCTGACCTCTGACCCCACTACACCCACTACACCCTGGCCTTCCTCCCTCCCTCGTTTCCACTCGATTCCACATGATCTCCCGAGGAGGTGGGTGGGGTAGTCTGGTTCCAGGTCAGATTGGACTGATGACAGGTCCTCCCCTCCCTCCCAGAGAGAGGCAGTGGGTGATATGTTCTCAGAGGCACTGGCGGACGGTTGAGAGGATGAGTGAGAGAGAATTCAGTCGCAGGAGAGAAGAGCTGTGAGGCTGAGAGACAACTGCAAGGAGACTACAGGTATATAGTATGTAGTAGTACACAGATCTTCAGAGCACACACTGTTAATATCCAATCCACAATAACTTAACGTGCGAAGGCTGCTAAAGTCCGTGTCTGCAAAGGCTGCAAATATTTGTGCCCACAATAATTTTGTGTGGTGCTGTATGGTATGAAGATGTGGTATGTTGAGAGTGTGACTGGCTGTGTGCAGGCGGCGCCTACATGGACGGTCTCCAGGGAACTGCTCTGTTTGACTCCATGTTTGAGGAAGATGGAGATGCAGAGAGGATCTCTCTCATGCCTGGTGTGCAAGACATGCTCTCTCAGTGAGGCCCACCAGCAGAGTGTGTGTGTGTGTGTGCGTGTGACTGAGTGAGAGGTGAACATTGGCTCTCTGCCCATCTCCTGCAGGATGAAGGAAGAGTTTCAGTTGTGTGTGGAGCACCTCACCAAGGTAACAGACCACACCCCCTGACCCCTGTGACCTCTCTCTCCGAAGATGGGGCTGGAGGAGAAGAAGAAAGAGAGAGAGAGGTGGCTTCGTTCCAATGTTCACACCAGCAGGCGACTTCCTCCAGCCAGCAGAGATCAGTGAGTATTGTCACCGCCTTTGAGAGCAAGGTTGGCTCACACCTGACTGTCATGTGACCTCAATGACTGATCATGTGACCCACAGCTGGTACCAGGGGCCAGTTCTCAGCTGATATCATCATTGGAACACGACCTGATGAGAGAGGAGATGACGACTAGTGGAGCAGCTAGATGTGAGGAGAACTGAGAGAGAGGGTATAGGGTGGACTGGAGAATGTGTGCGTTTCTACTGATTCAGGAAATAATCAGAGATTTCGAGAGGAACTATAGTGACATGGTCGGCAGTTTCTTCGAGACAGTTCAGTCACAGTATCCTCTCTCTCTCCCCTAGTTCTGAGAACTAAATATTCCGAGACCTGGTAACTCTAGAAGTGATGGATACCCTGACTGCTAATTACCACAGGGAGTAAAGGATTACCATAATTATAAATGACGTTTTTTCTCCGAATTACTAAATTTTAATACACCAACAATTTGTAACAGCTATCAGCGTTACACACCAAATTTGTACTTGGCCAGATAAATATGCCGTCACCAATCCACTAACACAGTACTATTTCACCATAAGCTTGTGCATAGTCTGAATTCCCTTGACTTGGTGATGTTAGCATGACTCAGCTGCGAGAACTGGAGAACACTCATCATGAGAAGGTCTCGGAGATGGCTCTGCAGTACCTGGAGAATGCCATAAAAGGCAGTCTGGAGGAGGAGCCTCCAGAACAGCTCAGGAAGGTCGGGATTGGTGCATGTGTAGTGGTTTAGGTCTCAGGTTTAGAAGCTGCACACAGTAGTTTTTGCCAGTGGAGTGTGGAAATAATGATGGATTCACCCCACCACAGTTGCTGGCAGACAAGGACACGTTGGTGAGTGCCCTCAACACCTCCCACGACACCCACCTCCTTGCCATCGACTCCAGAGAAGATAGCATCGCCAACAGAGCCAAGGCCGACCTGTCTCGGCTGCTGGAGTCAATGGCTGAGGCTGAGCTGACTCGCAACAGACGCAAGGTCACCGAGATGAAGGAGTTTATGGCCTGGCACAGAACAGAGGCAGACAGCTCCACCTAACTTTCTCTCTCAGAATACACTCCATAATTATGTACATCATTATTATCATTTTGGGCAAGAAGGAGCTAACTAACTATCACTAAGTACAACAGATTGGTCTTTCATGTATGTCATAATGATGTAATTAACAACACCCTGTAAGGAAATTTGGACCGTCCACAGGGTTGTTAAATGACATCATAATCAAGGGCTTGGATCCCACCTACCTATTGCCAAGGTATTATGCTATGGGATGTACAAATTATCACTCCCCCTTAGTGCTCACTCCCCCTTATGCTGATGATGAAAGTACAAGAATATGTTGGCCGCTCAGTCACTCCTATGGATGACGTTGCAAGAGAAAGCAATGTATAATTATATAATATACAATAAAAGGCAGGACTCAGTGTAAAATTTAAAACATCAGTCATTTTTCAGTCTTGGCCGTCCATGATCCAACTCTCCATGAACTTGACGTACTTGATGGTCTGTCTGTTGTATGTGTAGCTGACGTGGATGAAGCTGTCCGGGGTCTGGAGGAGCGAAGGGTAGCTGAACTCTGTACCGTTGGTCTCCAGGTCTCGGGAGTGGAGCCAGGACAGCCCTCCGTCCTCAGAGAGAGAAACTCTCAGAGGCACTCGTGGACCAGTGGTTGGATTGTACACCAACACCACATGTCCATTACTTAGTACGCACGCCTGGCAAAGGGAAAATGATGTCACTGTGATTATTCTGCACCATATGCTGTGAAGCACGTGCATGCACCTTTGTTCAGTGATCAGTGAAGTATTAGCATCATATCAAAGAAAGGAAGAGAGGTGTCCATTATTTGGAGTGTGTCCATTATAGGGACAGTGAGATTGGGCAAGATAGGAAAGAGGTTGTCCCCCCAATATTTACCTGGATAGCAGCATTATTGTTGGGGAGTTTGGTGGGGGAAGGCTCAGTCCAGGTGTATCCTGCAGTAATGGCAACAGTGAGGTCATGTGACAGTCACATGATGTCATGTGATCCCACCATCATCAGTGGAGGAGGTAGTGTAGATGTTTTGAGCTTGTCGGTCTCTCAGGAAGGCGAAGAGGAGGGGCTGAGAGGGGTGTGGTCTGATGACACTGGGCTGGATCAGGTAATTGGAATGGGGAATTGGGTATGGCTTCCACGTCCTTTGGTCTGAACTGATCATCATTGTAGAATACTGATCCTTATCCTCTTCCACTGGAGGAAGAAATGGGGTTCTTTCAGGCACTCAGCAGTAACAAGTGAAGTGAGGACCTGCGTAGTAGATGGGAAATATCCAGTCTCCCATGAGAGAATAGATGATCCTGTTCCTGTCAAAAGAGCCGTCTGTGGTGAAGACATCCAGAGGAGTAGTCCAGTTCAACCCCATGTCAAATGACTGCAACATCCATATGTTGGCCTTGTCTTCCTCACTCCCTGGTCTCCATCGGGACTCAGCTGATGATGCAGGCTGCTGGGAATGGAAGAGGTAGACCTCCTGCAGAGACGAGCAGTGAGAGAGAGAGACAGTGAGGGGTGGAGTGGTCCACCTGCCCAGTGCTGTCCAGGAAGAGAACGGGGTTCTGGTTGGAGTACCCCGGTCTCCGGGACACCAGACTGGAGTTACTCCACTGGTCTCCCCCAGCAGGGAGGCGAGCCAGGACAATGGAGCAATTGTTGGCGCCTTCTGCGGTGCCAGAGAACCAGGCCAGCAGCAGCTCCCCCGACGGAAGCAGCTCCAGAAAGGAGGCGTGGTTGGCCGCTGCAGGCGGGACTAGATACGCCTCGTATCGGCCGTCTGCCGTCTTCCTGACTTTCCCTACGGGCAGAGAGAGACTTATTATAACTCCTACATTTTCTTACTTCTCACCGTCAAAGACTGGGTGGAATTCAGAGCTCGCCAGCGAGGCTACTGCCAGGCAAAGAAAGACTGAACTGAGCATCTTTTTCGCGATTGCTCTGCACGCGCGTCCACATTCCGTGCTGCAGGGTGTTGCGCGGAATCGAATTTTTCGTTCCCGAATTCCACGTGGAGGTTGGGTGCAAGATGTCGGGCAAGAGAGATGTAAGTTCCTTACTGTATCCACACGCATCTTCCTCGGCGTTAGTCGCGGCGAGGAGGTAGTGCGCCCACAGCTAATAGCTGCTGTCATTTGTGTTCCCTCAGACTAACCCCATGCGGGAGCTCCAGATACAGAAACTGTGCCTCAACATCTGTGTGGGAGAGAGCGGAGACAGACTCACGAGAGCCGCCAAAGTACTCGAGGCGCTCACTGGACAGACGCCTGTCTTCTCTAAAGGTAAGGGGAACTGGGCGTTAATTGGGATCACATGAACCTTTCTCTCAGCGAGGTTCACTGTGCGTTCGTTTGGAATCCGTCGAAACGAGAAGATTGCAGTCCACTGCACAGTGAGGGGTCCCAAGGCAGAGGAGATCTTGGAGAAGGGGCTGAAGGTCAAGGAGTATGAGCTGAGGAAAGACAACTTCTCGGACACGGGGAACTTTGGGTTTGGCATCCAGGAGCACATCGATCTGGGGATAAAGTACGATCCTTCCATTGGCATCTATGGCATGGATTTCTACATTGTTCTTGGTCGCCCCGGCAACCGAGTGGCGTATCGGAAGAGGAAGAAAGGGTCGATAGGGTTCAGCCACAAGACCACCAAAGATGAGGCGATGAAGTGGTTTCAGCAGAAGGTAGCTAATGCAGACTAGCTGTGTGTGAGCTAACTCAGATCTGATCCTATATGGTACAGTATGAAGGGATCCTGCTACCTGGCAAGAAGAGATGAGTCCTGTCTTCACCTAGCAGCTGTCATCTGACTTTCATGTTTGAGAGTTTTGTGATGATGTAACTTATGAGAATGTTGTACAGAGTATGTGACAATGAGAAAATTGCCAATTTCATAGTCCAGATACTGATATTCTGCTATCTCTGGCCCATTTCCTGATGGCGAGGACAATCAGCTCAGCCTGAGGCTGGGCAGTGTTGCGTAGGATAGCAACAATCTCTCTCAGTGACTCCTTTGGTTCCTGGCCAGCCACCACCAGCTGGAAGACGCCGACACATGCACCTCTCTTCCCCTCCCAGAACTCAGGGCTAGGGTCCAGTCGCTCCAGTACGTCAAAGGCCTTGGCAGCATAGAAGAACTGGCCCATCTGTTGGTGTAATAATATAGGAGGTAGTATATATAGCAGGTCTGTAGTATATAGGGAGGTACCACCTTGTAGCAGTCGTTTGCGATAACCTGGAGGAGATTGAAGGAGTCAGCTGAGGTCTCCATCTTCAGGTACAGCTCCCAGGCCTGCTGAGGCTTGCTGTTCATGATGACTGCATGTGGGAGTACGGAATCAGCAGATATAAATGTCTTTGTAATGTATCATTGCGTAAAATTTCAATTTCCCTAATTAGCAAATGAAAAGCACTAAAGTGCAAACCCTCGGCACACTGTGGAAACCATACACAAGTGTGGCACCACCACAATTGATGGTCTTGACCATGCATCAAAAAGAACAGCATGCTATGCACTATTTCCATGGATAGGTTGAAAATGGCCAGCCCCATTTCTGTTTGAGGCCCAAAAAATATATAAGGTTGAAAAATAGGCAACCTTTCATCTCTCTATTAATTTTCGTATTACCTGTGGATTGTTTAGTGGCAAAAAAAAAAACCTAAGGTTGAAAAAATTTTTTATCGGCCAGCCCTTCATCTCTCCAGACAGACGTCTACGGACGCAGTGCTATGCCGAACTGTACGCTGCCCTTTGAGAAACGTGGGTCAGTGGTAGATTTGTGGGTAAGGGGAGGAACCAGAGCTGTTCCCAGCCAATGCTCTGGACCATCTGACATTTTAGTGCGGGATCGAGGATACGAACCCCGCACCTATGGTGTCAGTCCCCACGACTCTAACCACCTAGCCACTCGGGCTGGCCTTGAGAGGTAATGAAAAAACGTTCCATATATACCCAACACTCCTATTACATCATTGTAAAAAAGGCGCACACCCCCCCCTGCCCGGTGTCGAACCAGGGACCTCACGATCAAGAGAGGGGGTGCTTATCCATCAGACCACCACCATTACTTGAATGGGAACAGTGTAGATGAAAAGCACTAAAGTGCAAACCCTCGGCGAAGTAGCTCGCAGAGCTGACGCGGGCTAGCTACAGTATAGTAGATAGCACGCGAGAGTCGATACACGCCATTCGTTGTGACGTCTTGTGCCTTCAAGATAGATGACGGACCCGGTGTCACAGTATATTTTATCCCCCGTATATTTTATCCGGGGGATAGTATATTCTATCCGGCCGGATAGAATACTCTTAGTGTGGAATATCCGGGGTCCGGATATTTTATCCCTCTAATAAGAAAAGTTTATGCGCATACGGTTGCGCATCTAAACGCGCGGGACCATTTTGTTGGCGCCGTCGCTGCTCATACAGAGTTGAATCTGCACGACTGCACTCTGTTTCTCTTCGAGACACAGCGGTTGCGCGGGTCTGCTCGCCTTCACCTGCGAACCTGAGCTCCACGCTCGCTGGGATATCCGGTAGTGTTCTACAGTCCGCTGGTGTAACTCCAAACAAGGCTATCATCGCATTCTGTAACGTTCAAATCCCCACAGAACCTCAAAATAACACCCCGCCTGCGTTTCGACACTCCTAATAACGCACAGCACGGGGTATAAAATATCCCGGGTGCGGATAGAATATCCTAGGAAATTTTATCCGGGGGGGATAGAATATCCTATCCGCCCGGATAAAAATTCGGGGGGATGGAATGTACCGCGACATCGGTCGAGCTAAATATAAGCGCATGCGCATTATCCGCCAGCGATAAAATGGCGACTACCGACCGGGCATTAGCCATACAATGCTGGAAGCGCTCTAGCTCTGCAACGGATCATTTTCAGAGAAAACCCCACATACTTTCTGACCCTCGTCGCCCGTTGGGTAGATGGTATCGTTTCTGGGACGAACAGACACCCGAGAAGTGAGATTGAGAGTAACAGACACACACAGACAAACCCAACTACAGTACCCTCGCTGCGCATGCGCGCCGAGGGTAATTATGTACTCACAGCATCTGGTAAGCCAGCTGAGGTAGATGTAGTCATTGCGAATGGCCTCAGAGTTTATGAGGAGAAACACATCTTCAGCCTCGGTGTAGGAGCCGGTGGCTGCCTTGGCCTGTGCGTAGTTGACATTGAACTCATCGTTGTTGAAGAAATAGCTCTGCCAGAGGGAGAGGTAAGAGGGAGTGAGGTTCTCAATATGTAGCTATACCTTGATGGAGGTGAGGTAGACAAGAACGTCTTCAAACTGTCGGAGAAGGAAGAAACATGAAGCCATGGCTTGTCTGCCTGGGATGGTGTCTGGAGAGAGAAACGATTGGATATTGTGTGACAAGACCTTAGTGCTTGAATGAAGGGAAATATACCGCATTCGCTGGCTGAACTGCCAACCAGTTGGAAGTACTGCTGTGCCAGTCTCACGTTTTCAGGCTGCGGAATGTGATTGGTCACATGACAGTCATGTGATTCTCAGAGACGTACACAGCCTTGTTCCTGGCCAATGAAAGTGTTAGCCACAGCCTTCAGTACGTACTCCTGAGGACTGCTTGGCTCCACATCCTTTATTAGTTTATAGGCCTCTTCAATATTACCTGTCATGAGATGAAGCATACATTGTCAACATAATGGACCACTATAGTGGGGAGCAGAGAGAGTGTGTCAAGTGCGTCACACACCTTGTTTGAGGTGGTAGATGGCGAGGTTGAGTCTGGCCTCTCCCACAACTCCCAACAGAGGAGGCAAGACCTGCAGAGCTCCCTCACCTCCTCTGAAGATCACCTGCAGCAGTGGAGGACTCAGACTGAGTCTCCTCTCCCCCACTTCCCCTTGGATGGCTCACCAGGTTGTGTCTGAGAAGGTCTCTGGCAAAACTGAAAGAAGGAGATGTTGTATCCATCAGCACCTTTAGCTCTGCCTGCACACAAATATGACACGATTTACTGCTTAGAATCTGTGAATCTGTACACCATGTATTCTTCTACTATTTTAGGCGTACAGTACCTCAGCAGCTTTGCCATTGTAGAGTTTGTAGTAGTTGCAGGCCTTGAGGTTGTTGGCCACTACACTATCAGGGTGCTGCTGTACGTAACCTGCCAGGACCTCCTGAGACACGTCGTAGTAGTCCAGTTTGTGGTAGCACATGGCCAGGTAGACATTGAGAGCCAACATGTCGCTGAGGACGATATTAGTTGGGAGAAGTTAGCTATATAGAGATTTCTGAACTCCAACCGATTGTCCAGGAGAATCTTCTTGTAAATGTCAATGGCCTCTTGGTAGTGTGTTCTGAGGTAGTGGATGGCAGCTAGACTCAGCTGTGGGGCAGTGAAGAAGGTGATGAGAGAAAGAGTGCACTGAGTGGTTGGCAGACCTGGTCCTCTATCTTGTTCTGTAGTGCCTGGTGGTGTACCATTAGCTTCTTCTCATCACCAAACTGGAGAGAGCCAAGTAGTGAAAAACTATAAACTGGGTGAGTAAGAGAGGAAAGTGAACTTGCCTTGTGAGACAAGTGGAACTGTAATCTGTTCTGCAGAAAGCTCTTCGGAGCTACAAACAAGAGAGGTTTGGATTTCAATAACACCTACAACTGTAGAAGACTGACAGACCTTTCTGAATAACGGTCTCGGCCTCGGGGTACATCCCCAGCATAAAGTAGCAGCAGGCAAGGTTGCTCCACACGTCAGGATGACAGCTCTCTCCCTCACTCAGCGACTCATACTCCTGCAGAGAGCCTGCCTGAGTGAAACTGTGGACACTGTTGACCTTCGTACATCACCTTCCGAGCTCTGGCGTAGTCTCCGTTATGGAAACAGCAGTAGGCGAGCCAGAGAGCCGTGTCCCCGCCACTCCCTCGCTCCGTGCTCCGGAGAAACTGTGCAGGGAGAGGGGGAGGGGCTGGTTGAGTTTCGCTGTTTCCAGTCGCATTTCGTTCAGACTGGTCGGACGGAGCAGCTCGTCGGCTTACCTCCAGGAGAGTGATGGCGCCCACGTAGTCGCGTGCCTGCACAAAGTCCTCCAACTTCGGCAGCCGCTTCTTTTTCTTCTCTTTGGCTGCTGAGGCTCCAGCACCCTCAGAACCCGCTGGCTGCGCGGGTTTCGACCGAGAGAGAATCTGAAGACGAAAGAACGTAAAGTTTTTCGGTACATAAAACGACCTGTTTACCATCAAATGAAAGGTGAGACGTCTTCTTTTGCAACAAGATCAACTGAAGAGGAATTTGTTTTGATATAGGCGGTTGTTTTGGCGAAATGCGCATGCGGCGCGTTCAAAGGGGCGTGTCTGATCTAATTATACGAAAAAGAAAGTTTGCACAGCAGCCAAAATGTCTGAGGAGCAGGAGTTGGAAGAGAAGACGTTTCTTCTTCCAGCCGAAGTGCAGTTCGGTTACCTTCCCGTCTGCTCTTCACATGTGGAGGTAAATGAAAACACTCTAATGGCACACAACTCCTTTGAGTCGTCGTCCCTCCCCTCAGATATCTGACGACCGTCGCTCCGCTGCCAAACGTGACCCCAGCGCCACCTACGCCTATGGAGTGGTGTACGGAGAGAGGCCATTGAGAGGGACGGCCGAGTTTGAGGTGGAGCTGGTCTCATACGGCACAGGGTGGTCGGGGACTCTGAAACTGGGAGTCATGCGGTGCAAGACTGGTAGCTGCGTGACGGACAAGAACATTCCCCGTTACTCGCCCGAAGGAACGCACCACTGCGTGTGGAGCTCTGATAAACTTCACAACAGACTGACAGACTGTTTCACGGAGCAGCATTATGGAGAGATCAACCTGGACGAGTTGAGAGCTGGCGACAGACTGGGTATGAGAGTCAGCCATGACGGAACTCTCGAGTTCTTTGTGAACGGGAGACACCAGGGAGTGGCTGCAGAGAACCTGTACCAGAAGGGCTACGACGTGTATGCAGTGGTGGACCACTACGCCAACTGCAAGGCCACACGCATCACCAGATCAGGTATGCTTTACAAGTCATTCAAATTACACTTATTCATCTCCACTCCTAATGCAGTGATATATGTAGACATTCGACTACAAGACATCTGCTTACGAAAGATAGCTCTGTGGGTAAGATCGCAGTCATCTGTCAGAGAGCTCCCTCTCCCTGTCAACATCCAGAGTAGACTCAAGCAGTATATGGCATAGGCCTCTTTTTCTCTCTTTCATTTTCTGTTCCCCCCTCAGTTTGTCTCTTTTTTTATCTTTTGTTCATGAAAACAACAAAGTTTGTTTGAAACTCATTTCCTAAGACATCAACTGTCAAGTGAGAGCAAACGATCCATGAGTTCTCTATCAATGACTTGTCCGTAACGTGTACTGTACCTGAAAATCCTGCTGTGGCCTACGACCTCTACTCCCCGTAGTATGCCTCTGTCCTGGAGAGGGAGGAGGTGGTGTGGGGAGACCAGTATGTCCCTGCGGTCTCCGAGGAAGGTGAGAGTAGACAGTCTGACTTGTCCAGACGACGGAAGGTACGCCATTTCCCCGATGACTCGTGTGAAGAGGTGGGAGAGGGAGAGGAGAAGAGAGAGTGTTCCTCCTGCAGCGACGTAGGCAGTGGAGAGAGTGGAGCCTGGCAGACCTCCCTGGGTGTAGGACACAGTGGCTGGAGGTAGGAGCAGACCCATCAACACCAGCTGGTAGAGTTTGCTGCGAGAGAGAAGACGGAAGTGACGGATGGTGGGCCAGCGATAGAAGACAGTTGCCTCATCACGTGAGGGGGAGCTGCCATTGTGAAGTTCTCTGAGAGGAGGTCTCTGAAACTGGACCCTCCCTACTGCTGAAAGGGAACGGGGAAACGTGAGCATCTTCATTACCGGAAATGAATCATTTATTTTGTTTATTCAGTTATTCTTGGCATGCAGATGACGTGTCAACACCGCGTGGATCGAACACAGGTGTCAGGCAACAAAGGTGGTCAGTGTCAGCAACAAAAGCTTGGCTGTGGAACGCCAGTGAGGAGACAGAGGTGGAGATGAATTTTTTCCGACTGATAGGAGACCTCTCTCACCTCCTCGCCATCATTCTCCTGCTCGCCAAGATATGGAAGACGCGCTCGTGCGCAGGTGAGCCATGCCGGCTGCGCTATAATTAGAGTAGGTCAAGCGACACCTTCCCAAAGCTTTTCCTGCATGCGCGCTGCACTGCAGCCTAACCACTGCTGTCTTTTACTTATACTGCAGGCATATCAGGGAAGAGCCAGGTGCTCTTTGGCTTAGTGTTCATAACTCGCTACCTGGACCTGGCCACTAACTTTGTGTCAGTGTACAACACTGTCATGAAGGTGGTGTTCCTCCTCTCCATACTGGCCACTTGCTACCTCATCTTCTTCAAGTTCCGGGCCACCTACGACTCCAACCACGACGCCTTCAGAGCAGAGTTCCTTGTCATTCCCACAGCTGGTCTGGCTGTTCTTGTAAACCATGAGTTCTCAGTGCTAGAGGTGTGTGTGTTTCAGAGGCCCAGTCTTGGCATAGAACCTCTTACTCCCTCCCACACAGATTCTGTGGACATTCTCTATCTACCTGGAGTCAGTGGCCATAATGCCCCAGCTGTACATGATCTCCAAGACAGGCGAGGCAGAGACCATAACCTCGCACTATCTCTTTGCCCTGGGGTTGTACCGAGGACTCTACATCGTGAACTGGGTCTACCGGTACTACACCGAGGGTTTCTATGACTTGATCGCCATCGTGGCTGGATGTGTGCAGACTGCCCTCTACTGCGACTTTTTCTACCTCTACATCACCAAAGGTGAGTGTATATATACTGTTTGCCCCTAGATGGCTGGCAGGCACGACTGTGTTTATTCTCTCACCCAACAGTGATGAAAGGCAAGGAGCTGAAGCTACCAGCCTAGCTGATATATATAGGACGTCTCTTGAACTCTGTGTAGCTATTCTATTGCTCGAATGTCAAATCATCTTTTATTTTGTCCAAGAGAGCAAATGTGCGTTGTGCCGCGCAAACGTGTGAAAAAGGGGGTGGGGCAGCCGAGCTAGCTAGCTAGCTAGCTCAGCAAGAATGCGCAATCCGTCACATGTCTCTTGTGTGTGTACAGCAGTATTATACGACGGCAGCGAAGATCTCGACGAAGCTAGAAATTCTCTGGCACTAGAAATCATGGGCTCTCTTCACTCTCATCCGAGGGTCGTGAGCTGGGCGGCACAGGACGGGAGGGTGGAGGATCTTGTCTACCATCTCCAGAAGGGTGGAAAGAACGCCCTCAAACCCTCCGCGCTCTCTCCGAAGCAGAGAGCTCCCATCCACCTAGCGGCCATTGGGGGACACTCGCAGTGTGTCAAGGTTCTCTTTGACGCAGGTAGGGGGGCTCCATGTGTGCGGGTTTCTGGGAACTAGTAGGATCTCGTTTCCAGGATCTCCGCTGGAAGTGAGTGACAAGGAAGGCCACACGGCTCTGCATCTGGCCGTCTCAAATCAGCACTACCGCACAGTTCAAGTCCTCCTCTCTCTCGGAGCTAAACCCAACTCCAAGACTAGGTGTGTGGCGATACCACCACTTCTGTGCTTGTTGATGTGTATTTGACCTGGCGTTTGGTCTTTTCCTAAACCTGCCATCCATCTGCTTTCTTGCCTACTATATCACGTGCTATACATACATGTGATTGTAAATGTAGATTCAACGTGACTCCGTTGCACCTGGCGACGTCGGTGGGCAACACTCCATGCGTGGAGCTCCTCTTGTCCCACGGAGCTCTCGTCAACTGCCAGGAGTCATGGGGACAAACTCCACTGGCCATCACTACCCTCCAGGGCCGACTGGTGACAATGAGAGCACTGCTGAGTCACGGAGCAGACTCAGGTTGGCTGGGAAAACTCCTCTCTGCATAGCTATGCTTTATTCTCTCTCATTAGAGATTCGAGACTACCAGCACGAACAGACTCCTCTCCATATTGCCTGTGCCAGTAAGGACGAGGCCAGAGTCCTGGTGTTACTGGACGCGGGGTGCGAGGTGCAGGCGACTGATGGGCAGGGGCACTCCCCTCTCGGAGTGGCTCTGCTGAACAGGTTCTACAGAGCAGTTCCTCTGTTGGTCGAGTACGGAGCCAGATTGAATGGCACTGAGAGAGCCTCCGCTGGCCTCCCGCTACTGAACCATCTGGACAACTTGACCACTGGTGAGAGGAGAAAGAAGTTGAGTGCATGGTGTGAGTTTTATGCTGTTGTGAAAAATAAACCTACACATTGAAAGTTGACTGAAACCATTCTTGAGTGCTATAATCATTCCTTTTCTACAGGGACCCCTCTGTCCCTCTCTCGCCAGTGTCGAGTGGTTGTTCGCCAAGCTATTGGACCAACAAATCTGGCTAACTTTGACCTATCAACTCTGAACCTGCTACCCCATGTGCTGGTGTACTTACATGCCATTCTGGAGGTGTGTGAGGAGAGTGGAGAGGTGAAGAGGAGAGCTGTGGAGGGTGTGACTGTCGTGAGACCAATGATGGTAGATAGATAAAAAAAAGTTCCACTTTTGTGTTGTGTGTAAAATAAAATTTTTTTATCAATTGACAAAACACAAATGTACAAAGGAGGGGGCTAGCTAGCTAGCCAGGGAGGGCATGTGTCTGCAGCTCTCAGTCTCAACCATGGACACAAACGCCATGACAAGGATGCCCAGAACAAGAACCAAGACCTCCACAGAGGAGGCCAGTGGCTCTGTCTTCTCCTCCAGCAATTGGGGGACAATCGATACCAGAGATATGTAAAGGAACCCTCCTGCCGTGAACGGAAGTAACCATGACGATGCCGAGCTCAGCTGTTCAGCGGTGAGTCCGGCAACCACACCCACTAATCCTCCCGTTGCCGTGAGCAACTGAGCCTTGGCCGCCGACCAGCTGTCGAAACCAGAGCTGAGGAGAATGGCAAAGTCTCCCACTTCGTGAGGGACTTCGTGACAGAGTATTGCAGCTGTAGTGAGAGCTCCAACTGTCGGACTGATGACGTAGCTGGCTGCAATGGCAAGCCCATGGGTGAAATTGTCTGTGCAATTGGCAGCCAGATTGAGGTAGCCTCTCATGTTAATCCCTCCTCCCTCCTCTCCGTCCTCTCCCTCCACTGCAGCACTGTGTGGAGGACCTGACCTAGTGTGTCCATTACGGTGCACCAACCCGTTCTTCTTCCCCTCACCAGAGGAGATACCTGCTTTCTTCACTGGTTCTGTGTGCCTCACTGCTGGCTCAGCAGTTTCTTGCTCACTACAACCTGCCACTTTCTCCACCAGTAGAAACGATATCAGCCCTAGTACAACCCAGCAACCAATCTTCCAGTCCCCGGGGGCCCCCGAGGCGGGACCCCAGGCCTCAGGCAGCAGGTGCAAGAACACGTCTCCGAGCAAACCGCCGACTGCGAAATTCAGCAGCAGTCTGAGCATGAAGCTCCTTCGTCGGCCGTCCAGACGCAGGCAGCGGTTGAGTAGGAGCGGGAAGACTCCGGCAGCGGCCACCAGGAGGGAAGAGAAGAGCGCCAGAGACCACGTCTGAAGGGACACGTCTCCGCGGTTCACCAGAGCCGCCTTATGCGAGTGTATGTGAGCCGCACTCAGCGAGAAGGACGAGGCGACGAGAAGACACGGAAGAGCGGTCATTATAGAGGACTCTCAGTCGTACCAGGCAGTGTGGAAATGCCGGCCTCTCGCGACCTTTCCTCATGAAGCCAGTCTCCTGTTTTCTTGCTGCGGACTTCACCACTAACGGCAATATTTTACACGCGCTTCTACAAAGGTCTTTGTTTTGGTGTCAAAGTACATACATAATAATATGTTGACAGATAATTAGGGAAGCTAGGTGTTCTCCGCTGTGACTTGGGCCAGAATTGAGAGGGAACGGGCAGCTAATTCTCTTACATCATCATCCCCATCGCTGCTGCTTACATCTGTATAACGCAATTGTAAAGTGTACGATTGTTACATGTGTCTGGTGGTACAGCAGCATACCTTGTACCCACAGCATGGTCTCTGCTAAGGCTTCGTGCATGTCAGTCAACAGGTAATTAGTGGGCGTGGCCACTACTGCCATGTTGAGTGCACAGAGTACAGCCTGGCGCACAAAACTGAACCACAGAGGAGGGTATAGAAATAGGAGGAAAATCAACCATAGAGTACCTTGAGTTGTGGTATCTGACGGCCCACAAGAACTCCAGGAGGCTCCGAGCCATGGCTGGCTGACAGGGGGCGTGGCATGCACACCATGCCACATTCCCCAGTACCCGCACCAGGTGTCCTAGCAACAGACTGTCTCTGCCCAGTAGGTCCAGTGAGGGGAGGGCCCTGTCGTATGGAGCAATCAGAGGGTAGAAGAAGAGTGGAGCCACTGCTGAAAATCTACTGGGGGTAGCAGTGGGAGGTGGGGCTCTCGGACCCTGCACAGGAGAGAGAGAGATGATGGTTGGTTGGTGTGTTGGTTTGTGTAGACCTTTGATATGATTCTAGTCTTCGCCTTGAGCCTCTCCTCCACCTCCTGTTGCCATGGTTTCCCAGGTGTAGGGGGAGGAGGAGATGGTGAGGGTGTGACGTCAGTGGAGGGCGAGGAGAGCTGGGTTGCCCCTGACGATATTACCTAAACGAGAAACACACAAAATGAATAGTCTCAGGACATCTACATGTACATATTAATAGCATTATGGAATGCGGTCTATGAACAAGTGACTGAAATGATTGAATCTTCAGCAAAACAACACACTGTGACTGCAAAAGTCCCCACAACAGTTGAAACATTAGCAAGTGGGTAGCTATGCCAACTACCTCCAGTATATCTAGTCTCTGGCGCAGGTTGTGGTTGGGAGAATAAAACTCCGTCACAAGAAATGGAGCGAGGAGGCGTGGTCTGGCAATTGTCAAGGAGACAAGGGCGGAGTGTCGGAGGGCAGTGAAGGAGGGGAGGTCCCAGCTGTCCTGGAGGTGGACCAGAGCTCTCCCTAGATCCACACACACCTCAGAGAGGTCAGAGGGTTCACGAGAGATGAGAGACGGGAGGGAGGAGAGAGCTGCCTCGACTGGTCCTCTCTCAGTGGGAGACACCAACACTGCAGTGGGAGGAGTCAAACTGAGACCACACCGACTTTGTCTCTTACCACTCAGACAGTCCAGCAAGTAATGAGGAGGCGGAGTCTGGGTATTGTCTGGATCATGTGACATGTCGTAAGGCTCGAGATCGTCATCACTAATGGAAAAAGAGAGGGAGAAAGGTGAGGGAGAGAGGTTGAGAAAGAAGACTTGCCTCTCGGAGTCTCCAGCCTCAGTCACTCTCACCAGACCTGATGCACAGCTCTGACCAACTTCCTCTCTTTCTTCATGGACAGGAGATGGAGAAGGAGGAGGTGGAGGAGGAGGGAGGTTAGCACAAAGCCTCTCCTGCTGCTCTGCCACTGGCCTGTCAGTGGAAACACTGGCGGGAGAAGGTGAGCATTAATTGGAACTCACTCTGCCAGCTGAAGTATGGATTCCACCTCGGGGTTTTCCCCAAGGTCAAAGTGTAGTTGTTGTTCTGAGGGTCTGGAGTGGAGGGTGTTGATGAGGCACTGCCCAGTGGCCATTCCTCGCTCCCTCACTCCAGGCACAGGTGTGTCCAGGTGGCTCTGAAGACCTCTCATCACCCCCTCCTTCAGCACTGTTATAATAGAGAATACACCTAAACTTCCCTACATAATAATTATACATCTCCCAACTTCAATATTTCCTCCATTTTGCTCCCAAGTATTATACACATCTACAACTTCCAATTAAAGGGTCACCTGTGGAAGTGGGCGGAGTCAGATGGGAAGCCAGACAGGTTGTTCCAAGGACCAGCAGTCGACACAGCCACATGTGTTGTCTGCTGTCCATCTTCCTCACAGCTCCGCCCTCTGACCACACCCCCATTGCCGACCTCAGCGACTGACCCAGCAGGTCCTGCCCTGCCTCCCAACTCATCAGGTAGCCAATCAGATTGTAGGCTGCGTTCTCATTGCTAGGCAACCTCGCAAGCCACAATTTGTGTGAGAACACGTGTCGAGCTTTCTGATTGGTCATGGCCAGGTCTCCTAGCAACAGGTAGAGAGGGTGTGGATTCGCCAGAGAACTGAAGATGAAAGAGTGAAGAATATATAGAGACACGGAGCAGGGACATACGGAGGCAGCAGCTGGACCATCTCCACAAGAAGTGGTTCCATGGCTAAACTGTTGACTCTGCAAAAGAGGGAGTGGCAGACACGCCTCCACAGTGGGTCGTCTTGTGACTTGTCCTGTAAGACGGGCACTAATTGGGATAGAATTGTTCCTGTGAAAAAGTTGGAGGTAAACACATGGCAGATACAAGGATGATTCTGTGCTCACTAGTCTGGCCTAAGATGGCTGCCTTGCTCAGCACAGCCCCCAGGAATGCAAGAGATCTGTCCTCACCACCTGCAATGACAACTCCCCTAACATGGGGTTCTGTGGTTGAACTTTTGCACTCATGCTGCAAGCATTTGTGGCCGTGTTTTGTTAGTGACGTAAAGAATTTGTTCGACGGGCATACCTTTTACATCAGAGTGTATTGAGTGTAGGGAGGCAAGCAGAGCACAGCCCAGGAGGGTAAATAGAGAGGTGGGGAGGAGAGAGGGAGGGAGAGAGGATCCCAGTCTGTTGGCCAGGAGGTCTGGGAGGTGGGTGAGGGAAGAGAGGAGCTGCTGCTGGATGGGGGAGAGGGTGGGGGAGGAAGAACAGCTTTCTCTGCAGAGAAGTGAAGTGAGAGTTGAGATGTGGATGAGAGACTCCAGTTCTCGGGCCAGCCAGCGAGCATTGCTCACACTGCAGCAGAGGGATCTTGTCATCTCATGGTATGTGGCCAGAGGCATCGATCAACCTACGTTACTCGTGGAAGGTTTGCGTGGGCCGACAGAAAAGCCGGCGCTGGGCCCAGGCAGTTCAGAAGATTGCTGCACGACTTCCCGCCCACGCCTTCTCTCTGTAGCAGAGCCGCGCACAGATAGCTGTGAGCTTTCTCCCCACCACCGCCCTCTCTAATGTAGCTTAGAGAGTCGTTCACTGCAGTCTCCAAGTCACACTGGCTGCTTTTGAGGGAAGAAACCAACTGCTTTAGCCGAACGTCTTCTCCCATCGTGTTCCAAATAATGCCCGCCAGCAATTGATACGGCGTCTTGTGGGTAATTAGGAGCCAATCAATCGGCGATGAATATGATTACCTTCAAACCTATATAGCCCCGCCGGCTGCATAACTCGGTTGTGTTGTGTGGTGTGTGCTAAGCCCCAGTGGTTGGTCTAGGGATATCTCCGGTGTACTGGCAGATCAAGTTCACTTCTCTCGATCATGTCGACGGCACCCGACGCCGTGGAGCGTCGCAGCAAACTGCGCCTCACTGGTAAGTCGAACCGTTCGTTTCCCCCCATTTCATATTGGACTCCCTGTTTCCACATTCTCTTTTCCGTTCAGTCCACTCGGCCAAGACCCTCGCCAAGCGAGACTTCTTCAGTAAGTGACCGCCGTTTGTGCGCCGTTCACGATCCTGTAGTGTTGACCTAGGTACCGAGGTACTTACAGCCTCCCGTACACTACATCAGGGATGAGGGAGGGCCCAGGTTCTACCCAGTAGATAGCATGAAGTACAGTGTGTGTTTGTTGCTTATGGAGTGTTCCCTACAACAGAGCTGCCTGATCCGTTTGCAAAGATAGTGGTGGACGACAGTGGCCAGTGCCACAGTACAGACGTGGTGAGGTCCACTATGGACCCCAAGTGGAACCAGCATTATGATTTGTGAGTCCAACCAACTGGTGTGGGTGTCATGGAGGAGAAGGTGGCTGTGGGTGCCAGCCGCAAGAGAGTGTCTTTGTGCTAATGAACAGACTATTGCCATAGTGACTATCAGTGTAGTGTGTGTGGATTGTCTGGAGCCACTGGCAGAGCCCCACAGACTTCTGTGGAGACTGAGACAACCTTATCAGTGTCTGGCATCTCCAGCTCTAGACACTCAGTCTGTCAACACAACACCTAGTGGGCCTCATCAGAAATACCTTTTCTCCTGTTGATGTCATTCACTAGTGTTCCCCTCCCTGCCTGCAGGTTCCTCAGTAGAACTGACTCAGTGACGGTGAGTGTCTGGAACAATCGGAAGGTGCACAAGAAGGAGGGAGCTGGGTTTCTTGGTTGTGTCAGACTCAATCCATCCACCATCACTCGACTAAAGGACACTGGATGTCAGTAATCATAATACCCCTCTCTCTTTCATTAACATGCCACTCCCTTCCTCTCTAGACCAGAGGCTCAAGTTGAGTCACACTAGTCCAGATGAAGAAGAAGGAATCAGAGGCCAGCTAATCCGTAAGTCACTCTCTCCTCTCTCTCTCCCTGCTAGCCGATGGTTGTCTTCTTCTCAGTGAGTCTGACGAGCAGAGACCACACCCAGCCATCATCCCTCTCCGCCCTCCAACCTCAACCCAACGAACTGCCTGAGGGGTAAGTCAGTCTCTCAATCGCTGGCTGCTCTGTGGAATGCTCGGAATCCACTCTCAGACACAATAATACACTGCTATATACAAACATGACCTTTTGACCCTGTGCTATAGGTGGGAATGCAGGAGAACTCCAGACAGCAGGCAGTATTACATCAACCACTATGACCGCTCCACCCAGTGGGACCGCCCTACCAGGTTAGAATCACGCCCTCCTCTCACTCCCCCTTACAGCCTCCCACCACAGACCTGGTTATGAAGCCATTTCCTCATCATCATCATCTCGAGTGCCGAATCCCACGCAACCCTCTCCGACCTCTGACCCCACAGGGGATCATCTGTCAGACCACACCTCCAACCACACCTCGACAGTTCCCTCCAGAGTATCGACCACTCAGGTAATGCCGCTACTTCACAACAACAAAGAGATAGGTGCTCTATCATCCAACTAATATTGTTGCCATGTTGTGTATAATCGTTTAGAAAGAGTCCATTATCGCAGGGAACTCTGTCGACGGAGGATCAGTTGACGTGTCCGTCCTCCCCACACCCTCCCACTGATCCCATCCCCACTCTCACTATCACAAGAAATGGGCATCCGCGTCGATCGTCAGGGACCCTCACCCGCAGAGACATGTATTTATCTCGCAATGCTCTCCACCATGAGCTGCAGCTCCCCGATGGATACGGTAAGACAGCGTTGGAGGTTCTAGAGTAAGGACTTTTGGTCATCTTTCTGAGTGGTAAACGTGCATATTTACTATGATTCAATCTTTCCATACAGAGCAGAGGACTACGTCACAAGGCCAGGTTTACTTCATCCACCGCAGCACTGGAGTGAGCACGTGGCACGACCCCCGCTTCAGGCAGGTGGAGATCGACCCCCTGGAATTGGGCCCCCTGCCGGAGGGCTGGGAGATACGATACACCGAACACGGCAGGAAGTACTTTGTGGACCACATGAGCCGCACCACTCAGTTCACTGACCCCAGACTCCCCATGCACATGGCACGGAGGATACTGGTCGATGTTCCTCCAGATGACAGTCCCAGTGAGGGTGTGAGGGGTGGAAGTGGTGAGGGGAGAGGGAGAGGAGGGGGAGACAGCCCCGCCCCTCCTCCGGTGTCACGACGAGACCTGGTCCACAAGACGAGGCTGCTGCGAGAACAGCTAGCTGCCCTCCAGAGGAAGGCTGGGCACTGCCGCATCGAAACTTCCAGAGAGAATGTCTTTGAAGACTCGTACAGGTGAGCTCTCTTTGCTTTTGTGTCTGATTGATAGTTGCTGTCGAATGGTGTTTGTAGGCAGATACTGAACATGCGAGTGCCTCAGCTGCAGAAGAAGTTGTTGATAAAGTTCCGTGGGGAGGATGGGCTGGACTATGGCGGCATAGCTCGGGAGTGGCTGTATTTACTCAGCCACGACATGCTCAATCCGTACTACGGGCTGTTCCAGTATTCACGAGACGATGTGTACACTCTGCAGATCAATCCGGACTCCTCTATCAACCCAGTGAGTCAGCAGCCCACTTCTCTCTCTCTCTCCCACCTCATCCTTCTCCCCGCAGGAACATCTGTCATACTTCTATTTCGTGGGCCGAGTTCTCAGTCTGGCTGTGTTTCACGGCATGTACATTGACGGAGGCTTCACTCTTCCCTTCTACAAGGTCTGCCACTGGCTTGCTGTAGAACCTCTGATAGAGAGGACTCTCGGAAATTATAGGAGACCTCTCTAGAGTTTCTGCCCCATACTATATTACTATATGTGCAGTGTGCGCAGACATAGCCTTGCGCAAGTGGGTCTACAGTCTACAAAATCTGTGTGTACGTGCACAGCGCCGTTTGAGTCGAGTGGAAAAAGTTATGTTTCTTACACACGCACAAAACATTGCTGAAAAAATATTATCCATGGATGTTTGAGGCAAAAATATTATCCATGCATGTTTGAGGCAAAAATATTATCCATGGATGTTTGAGGCAAAAACCATAAATTCTAAGGTTGAGAAAAAATCTGCCAGCCCTCCATTGCTCCAGAGGTGGATGCTGTGCAGCTCGCCGAGGATTAGTGGTTTTACTATACTTTCGAACTGTGGGACTATCTCTCTCTTATTGTCCAGCAACTCTTGGGGCGACCTATTACTCTGGATGACATGGAGAGTGTCGATCCTGACATCTACAGATCCCTCAAGTGGATGTTGTAAGCCACTTACAAACACGGAACATTTTGGCTCCAGTTTCTGTCTGCATATGTCTGCATCATGTGTCCTTGCGACGCAGAACTATTACATAACACTACCAAAAGCACATACATCTTGAGCCTTACTTTTCGTGAAATTAACGGAACACTTGATATTGTGAATGAACCAGCCTTGAGACTGTGTGTGTGGCTGTAGGGACAATGACTTGTCAGAGATGGACATTCCTCAGTTCTTTGTTGTGGAGAGAGACAAGTTTGGGAAGCTGGTGCATAGGGAACTCAAACCTGGTGGTGAGGATGAGATGGTAACCAACGACAACAAGGAGGAGTACGTCAGGCAAGCCCTTAGTCTTGTGTTCGTCTGTGACAACTGACATCTCTCTCCTCTTCCTCCGCTGCAGACTGTACGTCCAGTTAAGATTCAGAGACGGCATCGAGAAGCAGTTCCTGGCCCTCCAGAAGGGGTTCCATGAGCTGATCCCAGCTCACCTCCTGAAGGAGTTTGATGAGAGGGAGCTGGAGCTCCTCATATCAGGACTGGGGAAGGTGGACGTTGTCGACTGGAAGAACAACACTAGACTCAAGAACTGCACTCCTGACACAGACACCATCAAATGGTTCTGGCAGGTGACGATAATAACTTTCTAGGGGCAGGTTTACGGTGCGTCCCATTGCACTGTCGCATCACGTGCTGCGAAGGTTGAGATGGATTCTCTCAGTGTGCTGACCAATGTGTAAACCCCTTCTCCTCTTCAGGCAGTGGAGTCTTACGATGACGAGAAGAGGGCTCGACTGCTCCAGTTTGTCACTGGCTCCAGTCGAGTGCCTCTTGATGGTTTCAAGGCCTTGCAAGGTGAGCTGCAGCCACTCCCTTCTATCCACTTTCTCTCTCTTTCTCCCGCCTCAGGTTCCACTGGGGCAGTGGGGCCCAGACTTTTCACCATTCATCTGGTGGACCAGCCAATACACAATCTCCCCAAAGCACACACATGGTATGTCACAATGTGTCTATGGGTGTGGTTATCATGCTGACCTCTGACCTGCAGCTTCAACCGGATTGATCTTCCACCCTACAACAGCTATGAACTGCTCTATGAGAAACTGACCATCGCTGTTGAACAAACTGTAGGGTTTCATGTTGAGTAGCCACACACCCTCACGCTGTTGCAATTACATCATCATTATCCCAATTGGCAATTTTATGATGACTGGATAAAATTGGGTCTAACTGTGTTTTGCGTAGTTCTTGCTAATGTATGGCGAGTCCACCTGGTAGAACCTCAGTAGAGTGGTGGCCCACTCTGGACCTGCTGATGCAATGCCAATCCTTGGAGATTTCCCAACGAGCTCAGGAGGACAGGGACTGCCCATCTCCAACCAGATTACTTGGGATGTTGTCATGTCAACCTTGTTGTGCCTGCAATGAAAAAACATCTCTTAGTCTCCCACTTTTCCTGGAAATGCACCGTTTGTCAATAGCAAGTGCCTGGCATAGTTTTCCTGGTCCACTGCACAAGTCCCTCTCTCTCCTGTCCCCTCTGCGAGTGCTCATGGTCTCCAGTCCTGCCACAGGACGCAGCGCTCGCACCAACACTGCTGCCCCAGATCCTCTACTGGACACATTGAAGCAGTGGTGGACTCCATATATGGAGTAGACATAGGCAGTACCTGGGGGCTGCAGAAAAGAGTTATTCTCTTCTTTCTCCCTATCCCCACCAACCTCCTCGTCCTCACCATGAACATTGCCTCGTTGGCTGCTGTGCGACGCCCACCGAATGAGTGAGCTGCTCTGTTTCTCCTCCCAGATAGGCCTCCACCTCCCCAACCTCCCCACGGCACTCCTCCCCAGCCTCACCTCTGCACACCAGCACACACCCCAGCATTGCTCGAGCCAGATCCTCGCACGGCTGGTCATAAAACTCAAGTCCACACCTCACAACTTCGCTTGTCTTGTCTGTCTTCCTTTTGGTCGCCTGCTGTTCGCATTCATCGTCGTTTGCTCTTCTTTCCATATTGCCCAGCCACACCCCACTCTAGCTCTCATGCGCGCTCTCACGCGGTGTCAGTGCACGCATGCGCAACTGAAAAGTGGGCGGGGTTGCAATGGGGTCGTGTACGTACGATGGCTGAGCTGGCAGAGAGTGTTGTGGAAAAGAGTAAGTTTTGCTCTGTGAGATGACCACATTCTGCTGTACCTATGACGCTGTTCTAGAGAGCAGTGTGTATCATTTGATCTAGTTAGCTCCGCCCTCTCTCCTAGTCACAGTGAGCCTCAGTCCCATTGGAAATGCACCGGCTCTGAAGCAGAAGAGGTTCGCCGTGTCTCGAGAGAAGAACATTGGCTGGCTGAACCAGTGGCTGAGGAAGAACCTCAAGTGTGATGCAGCGGACTCTGTGGTGAGGCTGAAAATCTTGCGACACTATTTCTATCTCCAAACCTCCTCAGTTTGTGTACATCCAAAACTCCTTCTCTCCAGCTCTCGACACTGACCTTGGATCCCTGTATGATGTAAGTCACGTGACGTGTTACCTGTATCACGTGATAATCATGTGACTTCTAATAGTGCTATGGAAGCAATGGGAAGTTGACGCTGGCTTATAGCAAGATGCGTGCCTATGGCTGATTGTCTGTTTTTATATGTCTCCACGTTCATTTCACCAACATCGTTGTGTATTATACAGTAGCATACAGAAGACATGTAAAGTGAGACATTCAGTCAGTGTGAAACGTGTATATGGGGCCTTGAACAAAGCTCTAGTATAAGAAAGGTTCATCAAGTGTACAGTAAATTGCTCCTAAATTCCTCCGGCTCCTAGCCCTCCTCTCGAGGAGTCGGGGATTTGTCATTGTGCTCGCCAGACGACGGCTGGCTGGGCAGGGCCGAACTGCCGACTCCCACAAAGCCTGGCGGAAGGAAGGTAGAGAGGGAGGGTTGGTTCACCATTGGGATCTGGAAGAACTGAACTCCAGTCGGAGGCTGGGGGAAGGCGCCAGCAGGTCCTGACATGGCAGACAGTGTCATTGGATGAAGGGGTTTCATCATCAGAGGTGGTGGGGGGTCAGGTCGAGTCTCCTCCCCCTCGTCCTCCCTGCATCGGGTCCTCTTGGCCGAGGGAGTGCCGTCTTCTGCTCCATGATCTCTCTTGCGAGCCACCTCTGGTGCCAGGGCCTCGACTGAGGTAGATCGACCGAGAGAAAAATATTTGAAGGGGCCGGCAGTGAAGGTGGGGTGTGGGCGCGAGGGAGAGGGAGGAAGGGAAGCAGAGGAGTGGAGACCGGAGGGAGGGAAGAGGGTGTGAGGGAGGGAAAACTGCGAGGGAGGGGTGTGGGGCAGTGCAAACTTGGCCTCCACCTCACGCAGGGCAAAATCGGACGGAATGAGAGGGTGGTGAGTGGGGGATGAGGGAGCAGACCTGCAGAACACACACAACAGCTTCCTCGTTGCCCTGTTTACTACCAGTGGTCCAGACACTCACTTGGAAAGAAGCCCAGCAGAGGGGAACACAGGGATACCTTTCTTTTTCCTCTTGACGTATGCCTGGGAAGTGAGCTTCTCTTCGTAGTCTGGATGCATGCACCAGTAACCTCCCTTCCCAAAGCCCAATCCTTCCTTCTCTCGCGGAGCCTTCATAAAGTACTGGTTGAGCGAGAGGTTGTGCCGGATCGAATTCTGAGCGAGAGAGCACACTTATTCCATCATTATACACACAGCACTTCCCTACGCACCTTCCACCCTTTGTCTTCCAACTTGTAGAAAGGGTACTTCTCGGCAATAAAGTTGTAGATTCCACTCAAGGTTTGGCGACGATCCTTTGGTGCCAGTAGAGCCTGCACTATGAGTTGGGCGTAAGAATATGGTGGCTTCACAGCGTCTTTCTGTCCTCCCTCTTCTTCCCCCTGCTGCTCGGTGGAAGCACCACCCTCTTCATCAGTCCTTTCACCTGATCCCTCACTTTCGACTGGTTTCTGAAACAGAGGCAGGCAAGGCTCAATAAAATACAGCATTCCTCTTCACAACCTCTTCTCTCTGCTGTTGAGATGCCAGCAATTTGGAGGCATATTTGGCCATGAGTTCAAAGGGCATTCTGCGTGCGTACTGCTCTACAGCATTGGGACTGACTGGGCATGAGTTGACAGCACTGCAAAGGGAGGGAGGGAGAAGAGATGTGGGTGTGGGGAGACTACGAGGGGGTGGCTCAACCTGATGGTGCCAGTCGGGGAAGGCATGGGGGACACAAAGGGCGAAGTGAGAGTGGTGTCAATCCTCAGAGGCTGCGTAATGGGGGAGATGGGAGGGGGAAGACGAGGAGGCATCTCCTCTATCATAGAGGTTAGGGCCAGCTTGATCTGGGTGGACGGGAACCTGATGATGCAGCTGCAAGAGAGGGAGTGTAAATTTGTTAGCAAATCCGTTCAAGAACGCGTGTCCGAAACTAGACACCGTCCCTCCCGGTGTCTTCCTCACGAGTTCGGTAATTGGAGCCTTTTGTTTTCCCTCTTCTGGAATATGTCGTCCACAAAGACTCCGTTCTTCCCGCGGCACACCAGGTACAGCTGGTTCCGCTCCATCAGTATGTCCAGGTGCCGGCGAGAAATGAACCGCGAATTCCCCATGTTCACGTCCACACCGCCCAGCTTGCTGTTGCGGCCGATCGTTATTCTTCTCTTGAGCATCCGGAATTCAAAGTCCCTTCCCTCTAGCCGAGCGTACGCCGTGTCCATGTTGTTGTTGAACAGCCCTCACCTCGTCCGCTCGTCCGTCTTTGTTTACAAACCAGTGCAGTGGCGCGCAGGCACGAGGCTCGCCGCGTGATATCAAAGAGAATGTGTGTTCAGCTAGCTAAGCGCGTATGGAAGAAAGTGGGCGCTTACTGAGAAGGTTATTATGCAGACAAACGAGAAAGACGCAGGCGGGGGAGTGGGTATTCGGCTCAAGTTGGGCTCATTGTTCAGTCCTAAAGCGACCCCAACGGCTGGAAAAGCTAGAGATGACGTGGACCATGGCACTTTCATCACAGCTGATGTTCTGAGGGTGAGGTGGGCGTGGTTGGGGGCGTGGTAAGTAAGGTGTGTCCTCCACAGGAGCTGGACCAAGGATTGCCAACTCAGAGGAGAGTGCGGGTCATGAGAGAACTGCTTGAGATCGTGGGCTCAAAGCGATTGGAGGAGGTCCAACTGACCTGCACGTATACTGCACACACATAGGCTCACATTTCCCCAACACTGCCCGAGACTGCTGCACTCTTTAAATAGGCAGCTGAGGTAGAGCCGAGAGTAGTGTTTCCTTGTGTTGTTTCTCTGTCTTGTCTGTGAGAGTCTACTGGCATTATTTTCTCAGGCTTCCCAGTACTGTGTTACCTTGTCTGGTCAGAGACGGACAGAAAGACAAGTGCACAAGTGAACAATGCAACTAGACTCTTGTCTCTACCTTAGCTGCCTACATAAAGCAGGCATCACCTCATTCAACCAACTGTGAAGTCATCAGTTGATTGGTGAAATGTTCCCACCTCCATTCCCTGTGCAGTATGCGGTGCAGTCGATCTGGAGAGCAGTGCAGGATCTGTTGGATCGGAGCCAGCCAGCCGACGTGCGGCAGGCCGTGCTGCAGTTCACGCAGTGCCTGGTGCAGGGCCAGTACTCGGAGCTGGGGGTCATGAGGGCCCACTTCTTCCGAGTGATTCAGTCGCACCAGGTGGAGGAGGACTCCCAGCAGAGGTGAGTGCTAGCTCTGGAGATGGAGTGACTGATGTTCTCTCTACTACTGCAGGCTGGAGCTGTTGATAGCTCTCACTCTCGGAGGGAAGGACATCCAGTACTTTGAGGAGGAGATTGGTACACTTTCTCTGTTTTCATTCCCAATTCCCATTCTGTGTTCTGCAGGTCCGTTCCTAGCAGAGTGGATACCACAACTGCCAGCTCATGTCAGGTAAGTAAAGCAACGGGAGAGACAGAGTAAAGAGTGTTGTTTGCAGTGTTGAGCAGTTGCTGGGACTACTAGTGAAGCTGGTTCACTACAACTCTGCCTATCTCGAGGAAGACGTGCTCTCACAACTAGTCTCCCACACCTGCTCCCTGGCGACCAATCCGAGCTCCCCCTCAGAGACTGAGGTATATCTCCCAGCTACGTAGTACTCTCTTTTTCCCTTCCACCCCCCTTGCAGCTGTGCCTGTCTTTCCTGGATGCCGTCATCTGCTACGCAGTGTTCCCTCCACAGACCATCCTGAGTTGCATCGTAACGCTCTGCCACACACTCAACATCGAGAGGTTCATTCAGAAGTCACTGGAGGTGAGTGTGGTCTCGTGTGGGCCTTGGTTTCAACTGACTCTCTGCAGGTGATGCAGCGATTGTTAGGCACACATCTCGGGCACACAGTCATCTACACAATGTGCAGTGTCCTACAGGACAAGTGAGTTCCCTCTTGGTTCAGGACAGTGTATAGATTAGGACAGCGTGCGTAGAGTTCACGAGGCAGATGTCCTGCTGCTGCGAGGAGCAGTGTTCTTCATCAGCATGAGTCTGTGGGGAGTCAAGAAAGTCGACACTCTGAGTCTTCCCTTTACAGCAGTATTACCAGCCATCCACCAAGTCAGTCCTCCCCCATTCCCCCACTATCTGGTACCACAGTCTCCCTGACAGGCCTCTCTCAGCGGACACACACTCGTCATCTATGAGGTGACTCTGTCAGTGCTGCGCCTGGTCAGACACTACTCCTCGAGACTGGGGCCTCGCGAATGGGAGATGATCTTCCACATCCTCCATGCCACCCAGCGCCATCTCTCCCAGCAGGTACAGCTGATTCCTGGCTGCCGGTGCTCACTGGTGTGTGTGTGTGTGTGTGTGTGTGTGTGCAGGCAGAGCTATCGTCCGCTGCCCAGCTCCAGTCCACTCTGCAAGACATCTTCTCTAGTGTGGAACAGTTCTGGAAGGACAGGGAGAACTCAATAGGCCCCGTCCACTTGTTCTTCCAGCTCCTGGACGAAGTGAGAGTCACACTACCGGTGAGTGCTCCCTCTCCCCCTGCCCCATGCAGCTGTGTGTCTTTGTTTTGCAAGGTGACCTCAGTCCTCAGTCTCCTCCACTATCAAAGCCAGACCATCGATGCAGCTGAGCTGGACTGGCTCCCTCAGATCTCTCTCTTCATGGACAAGTTCTTCAGGTCTGTGGTCCAGTCTGCATACAGATATGATGGTGTGGTACTGATCTCAGGTCAGAGACGAGACTTGTGGTGAGGAGAGAGGCACTGGGGTTCCTCGACCGCGTCTTGGTTGATCACTGGCTCACTCAGCAAGATCCGCTCCTCCAACAAGTCCTCCTGCCTGTGTTTACCCCTCTCTCTATGGATACGGACCCTGACCTCCGCTGTCAGGCTGTGCAGCTCATGATAAAGTTCCTTCCCTCCTCCTCCCCCACCCACACTTCGTCTCTACTGGAGATTGTCTCTCAGGTGTACCTCATTCATCTATTGTTTCTAACCATCATTTGAAGTGTGGTTTTATTGCTGGAGGAGTGTGTAATATGCATGTATCTTCAGGTGCTGATGCGAGGGTTGGGGGAAGGTTCGGAGGCCCGACTTCCAGACTGCAAGGCTGCTGTGTTTGGTCTCACGCAGCTATTGAAGGAAGCCATATACCGCCCGGGACCCCTGGCTGGCCAGGTTCTCTCTGTTTTGCTGCAGTTCCTGAGACAGGTTTACGCAGGAGCCTATTTCACCACCACCACCTGTGTGCTTAGGATCAATGTGAGTTCATACTCAACTCTTAGTTCTTGCCCCTCGGCGCGCATGCGCAGCAAGGGTTACTGTGTGTTTTTGGGTCTGTCTAGTCTGTCTGTTACTCTTCATCTGTGTTCGTTCGTCTCACAAAGGATACCACCTACTGAACGGGCAACGAAGGTCAGAACATTCGAACGGTTTCTCTGAAAACGCTGCGTTACAAAGCTAGAGCGCTTCCACTAGTGCGTAGTCGGCCATTTTTATCGCTGCGCATTCGACCGCTATGAAGGCATAAGAAGTCACAACGAAGGGCGTGTATCGACTCCCGCATGCTATCTACCACTGTAGCTAGTCCGTGTCAGACTCTCCGCGAGCTACTAGCGTGAGTAAACGCATACTAAAAGCCCAGCCCATCAATTAAGGCGTGCGCAGTTCGCCGATGGTTTGCACTTCAGTGCTTTTTCTGTTCCCATTCGATCAAGCAATGGGTGATGGTCTGATGGATAAGCACTCCCTCTCTTGATCGTGAGATCCTGGTTCGATCCCGGGGGTGTGCGGCTTTTTTACAATGATGTAATATATAGGAATGTTGGCTGTTGGTATAAGTGGAACGTTTTTTCATCACCTCTCAAGGCCAGCCCGAGTGGCTAGGTGGTTAGAGTCGTGGGGACTGACACCATAGGTGCGGGGTTCGTATCCTCGATCCCGCACTAAAATGTCAGATGGTCCAGAGCATTGGCTGGGAACAGCTCTGGTACCTCCCCTTACCCACAAATCTACCACTGACCCGCGTTTCTCAAAGGGCAGCGTACAGTTCGGCATAGCACTGCGTCCGTAGACGTCTGTCTGGAGAGATGAAGGGCTGGCCGTTTTTTAAATTTTTCATTTTTTGTTTTTTTTTGCACTAAACAATCCACAGGTAATACGAAAATTAGTAGAGAGATGAAAGGTTGGCAATTTTTCAACCTTATATATTTTTTTGGGCCTCAATAGGAACAGAATGCCCTTGTACAAAAATATATACACTACAAATAAAACATAAAAACAAAATTCTAGTTGCCCGATGACCGGTGTTGCCTTGTTTGCTGTCAGGTCTTCAACTGCCTCCTCTCTCTCCGAGCCAATTCCTCCGGCCAACTAGGTTTCCACGACGATGATGGTAGCAGGGACATTGAGTACAGTCCATTCCAAGTTTGTGCTCTCGGAGGTCAAAGGTCAGTGTTGGTGCCTCAGACAGTGGTGGATCTGGGAGGTGTGTTTCAGGCTGCCACCTCCTGTCTGGAGAAGGTGAGGGCGAGTGGCGAGGGAGGAAGGTGCAGAGTGTGTGATGGTGTTATTGTGCACAGGATGTGGAGTGGGAGGCAGTGTTCCAGCTGCTTCATCTCCTCAGGGGCACCCTTCAGTGCCGAACCCTGACCCTGTCTGCGATGCCTGACCTGTCCACCCTGCCTCCACTCCTCAGTTCTCTTCTCAACTCCAACAAACTGGGTCTATTTAGCAACAGACTCTCTGTGGCTGATGTTGGGGCTTCAGTCTTTCCTCTCCTTGCACTGTTGGCCACCTACCCCTCACACCTCGACCGGCGTGCTCAGGTGAGCGTGTGATCAGAGGTAGAGAGAGATGAATGACGTGTGTGGATGTGCAGCATGACTTGGTGGTCTGTCTTGAAGGAGGTCTAGTGGGGAAACAGGCTGTCAAATGTATGTCAGCTCTCGCAGTCTGCAGCCTTGAGCTTCAACCAACTATGAGTAGGTGAGCTCTTCGCCTTCAGTGTTGTGGGTTCAAATCCCACCTAGTTGTGTTGTTCATGTTGTTTGCCTTGCGACCGACACACTGCTCTTACAGATGTCTGCCACGGGTGTTGTACAGACTGGGACAGGTAGCAGCGACACCCATCATGGCAGTACCAACCCTGGAGTTCCTGGCTGGTCTCATTCCCATACCAAGTCTGGTATCGGGGTTTGTGGAGGAGGAGTATCTGTCAGTGTTTGGGATCGCACTGCCGTACACCAACCATCACAGATACCCTCCCTACGTGGTGTCCATGGCACATCATGTCATCTCTTGTTGGTTCCTCAAATGCCGCATTCGTTATCGTCCCAGGGTCGCCAGGTTCATCTCTAAGGTAACCAGCTTTAAATACAATTCAGAGTCCTTACCAGATCTGTTCATGTGCATGCTGACTAGCACACAAGGTGCCGAGACACTTGTGCATAATAATGGAGCTCTACGTTCAACTTGGGCCTGATTTACATCACCTAGCATGTATCAATGTGTGTGTGTGTCAGGGGCTGATGGCTGATGAGGAAGTGGGAGGTGGGGAAGAAGGAGAACTGTGTCGAGATCTCACTGAGGCAACACTGGACCTCCTCGCCCGCTATACCCACTCCAACATCTCCAGTCTTCCCTCCAGGTTTGCTTCAACACCCATGTCACAAGGCCAGAGGTCTCTCCACAGATCATCAGGTGCAGAGTTTCTCTTCTCTCGCGGACCATGCAAGACATGGGCTCTGGGGAACTACCTGGTTACCATGACAACAACAGGAGAGGCAGGGGGAAGTCCCGGCTCATGTGCACATTGTGTGTCTGAGCGGAGGACCGACCATGTGTCCATGAACACCAGTGGGTTATGCAGCTGTTGGAGTTGGGGCTGGGCGGAGGTCAGGGTTCGGCGTGCCAGTGGGAACAGTGGGTGGGTGGTGAGACTGGAGAACAAGGTGAGGAGGGAGGAGCTGTCAGGGGAGGGCGAGCTTGGACTTGGGCCGGGTTGCTATGGAGATGAACTGGTAGAGGCATACAGAGAACATGTCAAGGTGACAGGGGAAGAGGAGAGGGAGGGGAAAAAGAGAGAAAGAGAAGGAAGTGAAGAGGGAAAAAGAGGATAGAGCTGATGTGACTGGTGTGCAAGAATTAGAGCAGCGACTTCCCTGGACAGAGTCTCCATTTCCAATGACACTTACCACAGAGGAAGAAAAAGAGGAGACAAGGTCAGAATCCTGTCTTCGCGGCACACGCTGTAGTCTGTGTAGAAATTGCTGTTACAGTAAAATTGTGTTTCCATCTGTGTTGCTAGTTTCATTACTGATTGTTGTCCATACAGTCCACAGCCCAACTGTCTCCCCTGCAGTGATGCCCCAGCCAGTCCAGAGAGTGCCGTGGAGCGTCTTCCTCCCCTGCTGTCGTATGAGGAAGAAGGTCCGATGGGTCGATCTCCCTCTCTCCTCTCTGCCTCTCACCTCACAGAACGGGAACAGGTTGGCTCCCCTCACTGGTCCTCTCTCTCTATCGTCTTTCTTCTGTGTCCCAGCTGGAGTTGGTTGCCAGGGCCTACCGCAGCTCAGAGTGTGACACTGAGTCAACTACTGGTGAGTGGAACGCCACTGGTGTTGTGGAGTTGGCGTATTACGTATGGTCCAAGGAGACAGCAGCTCTGAGTCTGAGGAAGATGAGAGACAGAAGAAAGATGAGGACACTGGGGGAGAAGAGGGGGATGAGAAAAATCAATTGGAGAAAGATTCCCAGCATCTGTCCCAACAAATCCCTGCTGTAGCAAGTCAGCCTCGTATGCCAGGTGAGGCAGGTTTCAGTCTCCATTCCATTCCAGTTGCAATAGAATCTAACCTCAGAGACAAAAGTGGGTGTGACAGAAGAGGAACACCGAGGCAACGACCCCAGCTTTGTTTTCCTGCAGCTGTTCCACACGGCAGCCCCTCCATCCAACCCTCCACTTCTCCTGCCATCTGATGAGGTGGGAGGTAACCATGACAATGGGGATCGTGTCCTACACATGTGTGCACAGGCGACTGCAAGAGCCATCAAGTTGTTGGATAGGATTCCTCCATACACCACACACAAGATTGGAGTGGTGTATGTCTGCAGGGGACAGGTATGTGTGGGCCTAACTCATGCACAGTGGCTGTTTCACATCCCACCAGATGAGTGAGACGGCGATTTTGGCCAACACCAGTGGGTCCAGTCGCTATCAGCACTTCCTGTCAGGGCTGGGGCAGCTTCTGCGGCTGTCGTCATGTGATCCTGACCTGGTCTACCTCGGGGGGCTCGACAGAGGAGGCAATGACGGAGAGTTCACCTACTTCTACCTCAGAGACACCACTCAAGGTGAGGAGGTTTACAAGGCTCCACACATACGTTGTATTGATGCTCAGTGAGATGTGATGTAGGTTCAAGTCTCACCCAAGACAGTGTTCTTAAGAGTTGTCCTTAATGCTCACTTTCGCTGAAAGCCACCCTGTTTCCCGTGTGCCTGCCTCCTTCTTTCTCTAGTGGTGTTCCATGTGGCAACTCTGATGCCAACACTGACGTCTGACCCACACTGCTCCAATAAGAAACTGCACATTGGAAATGACTTAGTCACCATCATTTTCAATGAGTCGGGTGCTCCCTACAAATTTGGAACCATCAAGGTAACCCAGGAGCCTGCCAGCTCACACACCTAGTGGCCCACACCTGCAGGGTCAGTTTGGCTATGTGGAAGTTTTGGTGGAGCCTCTACCTGCAGGCGTCAATAGAGTGAGTGTAGCAGTGTGTGGAGGAATGGCTGGGATGATCTCAGTGGAGCCTGTCATCTGCTCCTCCAGTCAGCTGCCAACTCTCGTCAGGACCAAGGCTTTGCAGGCCAATGTACATGTACCCTACCTCTCACTGGTGGACGACTGCGGTTTACTTAATCATGTTCCTCTCTCTCCCTAGTTTGCCTCCCGAGTGTATGTCTCAGAGTCATCATCACGGGCAAAGCACCACCCTAACAACTGGCTCTGTCGACTGAGACAAATCCGGCACATCCGACAGCGGTGCACTGTCGTTTCCACCACCTTGTCTCACATAGCTGACTTCACAACTTACAGCTAGACTTATTTCCAGACTCAAAAACCTCAAACAAATTTATGGCAGTGTTTGTAAATGTCCGCTACTTATATATTATCTCCAACATTGAGTCAGGGGAGGAAGGGACACCCTGCCAGATGTCTTAGGATGAGAACTGGCTCGTACTGGATGGTAAAAGGGGCGGGGCTTGTGAGCAGCTCCTCTTCCCACCCAACACTCTCCACCTCTTCCCATCCACACAGCAGGAGGGGGAGCCGTTGGTAACCATAGCGACGGTGAAGATTCCACACAAGTACATCGGGACCTACGGAGTGTGTGTGTATGTATGTGTGAGCTTTTATAATACCCTGCCAGTCAAGAGGACCTCCCTCACCAATTGGCACAGTTAGAAAGAAAAGTCCGTTTTCTTCTAACACATTCCTTACTGTATCCATGGCAACAAGGTCACCATCTGGGTTGATAGGATCTCCATAGCGACCAAGTCCGTCGTGGTCGAAACTTCAGAAGGAGAAGGAAGATTGGGAGTGAGGAAAGAAGGGAGTGAAGAATGTATGGACCTGGAGATGGAGAGAGCAGTGTGGAAGAGAGAAGTGGTCTCCAACAGAGAGGGGGTTGTCGTGGTGATGAGGGGATGGGAGTATGTGAGTTTGTTGTATTCAACAGTAGTGACATGGGAGGCTCCGAGGGCCAGCAACAGACACTCGTACCAGGGGTGAGTGGAACCAAACAGAACCTGCACACACACACAGGGAGCTCTACAATCACAGGACATTGGGTGGTGCAGCAGGACCTACAGCTGTGTGCCCAGCCACTGAGTGCTGCTGCAGGGCGTGCACCAGCCATATGTCAGATGTCTGGGTTCTCCAGGTAGTGGAAGAGATGGTGGAGGGGGGGCTAGGTGGACTCACAGACAGGGCTTGCTGGATGAAACGCTCCGCTTCCCTAATCAGCTGATTGATGTCAGACTGCGAATACTTGTAGTGTGTGCCTGTACGTGAACGGCGAGATATCTCTAGCTAGCAATTGCTGCAGGAAGAGCCTACCTTTCCCCTTGTTGGAGTCGTCTACATAGTAGAACTCCAGAGGAACAGTGTGGTTGAGAGTGAAAGCTGCTAGCAGGGAGTCTGGAGGCTGGCGAAGCGGAGGACAAGCTGTGCAGGCACAGATGACGGCTAAAACCAAGCTTCCCCGCCTCTCCAGCATTGCTGGTGAAGATCAACCACTGTAATGAGGCCTGAGTGCGAGTGTAACTTTCATATATACCTGCCAACCGTCCCGATCTGGTCGGGACAGCCCGAGCCCACTAGTCCCGATCAGATCTCCACCGACCGTTACGCAAACGTTCAACAGTGCGTTACGTAACGTAAGCAAGCGAATGGGATCAAGGAACGGCACCGCGTACTAAATGAAAGGGGAGTGGTCATACGTACGCTATTTGCACTTTACTTTGCTTGCCGCCCGGATGGATCAAGATCGGCGCCCCAGGAAGCGGAGGGGGGAAAGCTAGGTACCCGGAAATTCTCGTTATACGGCTTCATGGGGTTCCGAGGGGGCGGAGGTGCCCTGCAATTCGGCTCCGGGGGTCGGTACCGGGTGCCAAGGGGTGGAGATGCGTTCCGCGCACGCGCAGATTGGATCGCCAAAGAACACGGCAGTACTGCCACTGACTTGCGACGAGTAGATCATTGTGCAGACAAATGACCCAACAACATTATGGAAGAACAATAAACACACAGTGATTTTCTACTGCTGGCAGTACATCTATAATACAGTATACGAGGATAGCTTCAGAGAGCAAACAGTTCATCAGATGTCTGGTCCTCCTTTCTCTGCATCTGTGCTCGGTGTCTGGCAGGAGGCAGACTCTCTGCCTGCTGACTCCTCTGCTGCAAAAACTGGTCAAATTCTAAACACAGAGAATTGTATTGTATTGCATCATCCTGACATCATGTTTTATATACCTGCACTGGTTGCAGACTCAGCACTGGGCTGTGAAGTGGGTGTGGTAGTGGGCGGGGCCAGCCACTCTTGAAGGTCGGCATACACATTGGGTTCAGTGCTGCGACCATGCAGAGCCTGTGTCAGTGACTGGTTTTGGTCCACTCTCAAATCTTCGTACGTAGAGCCCCTAGTAAAGAGAGAGAATTTGCGTGGATGTCCATGCAGTAATCTAAAGAGACATACCCAGTTGGGCCAGCATAGGCTGTTCTGCTTTTGGCAAACATATCAAACTCATCATGACTTTGTTCAACAGCTGCTGGGGCTGCAGATTGCTGGGGTCCACTCTGGCCCCCCGTGATTCCAAGGTCTTTTAACTGAGACACAATATCCTGCCCCTCGGGGGTCGACTGGGGGGGCAGGGGGGCAGTGATGTCGCTGCCAAGATCAATGAGGGTCCCTACAGAAGCTTCTCCTTCATAAGGCGGAGGCTGCTGGTCATCTAGAGCGGGGTAGCAGATGGTGGCTGCAGGCTGAGGAGGAAAGTGAGTTGAAGAATAGGTTTCTGACTGTATACATGTATATATGTACCTCATTCAGACTGGTAGTGGCCACGCTGCCTTCTTGAACACTCTCTGGCACCTTCTCTCTGCCTTCCTGTCCTGGCTGCTGGAGAGCTTCTCTGTTCCGAAGATACCTGGTGATACAAGTGAGTGAATTGGGACGACAGGGGCAGTGGGGTGTGTGTATACCTCTCATATCTCACAAACACGCTGTTCAGTTCATCATTGATCTGCAGTGTACTCTCAAGAATGATTTCATCCTGACATCTCTCTATCAGGTCTGCCACTCGACTCTGCATACTGTGAACGGATCTGTTGAGTTCCTGGGACGTCAGGCAGAGCGGGAAATGAGGCAACTGGCCGCAGGAGTTGGTCTCACCTCCAGTAACTGGTAGTCATCTTGGCTCTCCTGTCCAGGCTGGTTCTCTGTCATTATCTCACTCATGACGTCAATGTTCCTCCTAACAATGTCCAGCTCAGAGAGCAGTTTGGCCACCTGCACACAGCAGTCATCACAAAAACTAAAGCTCACTGATTCCTAAGTCTCCATACCTGCTCTGGTTTGAGGGGTCCAATTGGCCCTCTGGGTGAGCGATGGCTTCTTCTCTGACCTGATGAGGACTGCGGCTGAGCTGTGAGGGAGAGCTGGAGGGGATTAGTATTGGGATCACATGACGATCACATGACTATCACATGACTGGCAACAAACCTCGTCTGGGGCCGATGGAGCCTGGGATTGCTGCAGAGAAAGAGGTCATCAAATAAGAGAGCCACACCCCCACATCCCAGTCTCACTCTGGATGGGGTCTGGACTGGAGCCAGCTGGTCTAGGTCAACCGGGGGGAACTCCACCCCCTGTGCCTTCAGGTCCTCGTACACCTCTTCCACCGTCCCCAGCTGAGGTCTGCCTCTGAAGGCATCTGCCCAGTACTGGATGAGGCCTAGGACCCTCTCCTTCACGATGGTGGGAGGGTTGTTCTACAGTAGGGAGGTAGCATGCTGTGTGCCCCACCACTAGGGGAGACAGACCTTGGGCTGAATGACTCTCAACAAGTCGTTCAGGAACTCTTTCTGAGCTATCTTGACGTGGAACCTCAGACCACAGTTCTTCACACAGGTCTCAAGAACCTGCCAGTAGACATAACACACTGGAATGTGGGTGCATGAACACGGGCATTGTACACCCCATGTCCATACATATGCAGACAGGAGACGTTAATTATTTGTACTCACAGTCAAGGTAAGGTTGATGATGTGGAAATTCTTGTAGCTCCCTGTAAGCCTCTTCCTAATGGCTGCCACTGCGTCCTTGGGCCCAGAGTCAGTCTCATTTATCAGATCACACACCTCAAGGTGAAGAGGGAGGTTGCCAGCGCTCGCTGCGTTGTCAGTTGCTCGTTCTGCGAGAAGATATTGCTCGTACATGAGTACCTATGTGTACGTTGCTGTTGGGATAACTCACCAATTAGCTGACCTACTGGCGTTGAAAACGCTCCAAACCCAAAGAAACCAGCCATTCCTGCTCTCTTTCTCTCTTCAGTTCTGCTCTTCACCACCCAAACTAGCTGGGGCGGACGTCGTTTACAATACACCAATCACATGACGTGACGTCATAATCATCCTGCAGGGCACTAAATGGAATTAAGCCGATATGGCGGGCACTCCGTCGGCGTCTGGTCAGAAAAAGCCGTGAGTAATGAAGACAATCTACCTTAACGGTCTTTATCAATCTTCTCTGTTGTGTTGAAGCAGTCAGTACTATAGCAAGTCGGAGTTCTGTGTTGTAAGAGAGGAGTCGGGGGGAAGAGAGGCGGCAAAATGTCAGTTGGAGAGAGCCCTAGAGAAGCAATACAAGGTGGTTATCATAGAGGCTCCATGGCAAGGAGACCACGCCATCAGGTGAGCCTTCAGTAAGGTGGCGTGTCATTGACCTTCTTTGTAGGTGGATCAGGTTTGGAAACTCCCTTCACAAGACTGCAGTAATTTCGTGTCTTGGTGGACTGGTTCTAGTACCTCTACTACCCAACAGACTCTTTGGCTATGTCTGCCTGCCACTAGGGTTGGCAGGAGTGGGCTGTGCTGCTCTTTATGCTGTCTCCTGGCAGTTTGACCCCTGCTGCAAGTACCAGGTGGACAGAGAAGGCAGGGAGCTAACTCACATTGCCAGTCACGAGCTACACTCTGCATCCCCCGTTGTGCTTATCTTCAGGAATGACAAATACCGCAAGAGACTGCACAACGTTCTGGCTCTAGCCATGTGTGCTGTGTTGGGCTGGAGACTCTACAGCCTGCTCCATTCCCAGTCTCAATAGCCTGCTCTCTATACATGCCATTGTCCGCTGCACTTTTCTTTGTTTGCTATACATTTCTGTTTATACACTATAGCAATGAAGTGGTATGTTAGATGGTGCTAATTGTGAAGTGCTGTAAGTCTATGAGCCACTGCTAACTATATCTTGCCAGCGAATGTTCCAGCCTCAACCTGTTCATCCCATGCCTCCACCTGTGTCCCAGGGGGGAAAAAGCTGAGTCACAGATAAGAGGAGGTCTCACTAACTCACCCATGCCGCTGGACACAGACTCATGTACGTCTTCTTAAACCACTGGCATGGGTCGTAGTCCTCTCCACGGGCCTTGACACACCTATGGTAGTCACGGAAGTTGGTCCAACAGTTCTTCGTCTGGTTAGTGTTCGGAAAGCGGGCGTCAAACTTCGCCGTCTCCAGTTTTACTTCTGATGTCATTCTATAGGGTGGGGACAGTTGGTTGCACAGTATTGCAGCCCAACTTGTCACTTACCTCAAAATCCTTCTTGAGCGAGAGCAAAAGCCCAGCTAGCTGTGTCTCCGAAAACGCAGAGAGAAGGGGCGGGGCGAACGTTTATCACGTGCGCGCGCGCCGCGCCGTTCTCTCGCACGCGTACGTCACCACCGCGACGCGACAGAGCTATAGGATCTAGGAACGAGAAGAGAGTAGAGTTAGCCGTCATGTACCCTGCTCAAAGCACTCAGTGAGTTTTTTCCTTTTGTATGTGTTACGCCAATATCTCTGTAACTCTTTAGAAGTGGGTATCCGGCACCTCAGCTCCAGTACGGTTACCCTGGCTACTATTATCAACCGACCAACACTTGGCAACAGACGCAGTCTGCTCCTCAGCACGACTGGTCTTCCTCTCAGCCACCGCAGGTGAGAGGATGGTGGGGTACAGACCTTAGTTTAGTTCTGTCTTCTCCTCAGAGCTTCTCCCAGAGCTGGGGACCCCCCTCAAATGGTGAGCCCCCACCTCCAGGAACAGGCGGGGAGAGCGTTCTTCCAACTGATGAAAGCCAGCAGGTCCCTCATCCCCCTCCTGGACCTGGCCCACCTGGGAATTGGGAGGCCACAAACTACTGGCAACCCCAGTGGCAAACACAAGGTGAAGCCAGTAGTTGTACACATGACACCATGTAGGAATTGTTTGATGTCTGTATCACAAGATCGGCCTCCATTCTTAATTTCTGAGGGTATATCCTGAATACCACAAAGAGAGTCTAAGCTCTTATGTACACTGCGACTTTGCAGTTGCCTGAAAATTGTGTGGTTGGTAAAACTGCTGCAGGTTGGACTCCAGTTGATCAGTGGAATGGGCAGTGGCCTACTCTACATCAGTACTGGAATTCCTCTTACAACTACAACAGCCAGAGCCATGGATATTCCAGTGATGCCACTGCTCAGCCACCACCTCCATCACGACATGATCGGACTCCTCCCCCTCAACAGCAGGAAGCCACACCCCCTCCCCCTGCCGCGCCAGTGATGGAGGAAGGGAGAGTCAACCAGCCGCGCATACAGCAGTATGCAGGGGCTGGCTACACCACTGAACCGCCTGCTCCTAGTTTGCCCTCCCTGCCCAACCCTCCAAACCAACAGACTGGGTCGTCCGTTGGCGCTGACGTTGATGAACAGGACAGAAGTCATGGCTTGCTGCCTCATCCACCACATGTGCACAAGACGGGGAGTCAAACCTGGAGTGAGAAGAGAGAGGAAGACCAACCTCCTGCAAGAAAGAGGCCTTCCCGATGGGAGCAACCTCCATCTGAAGGTACAAATAGAGGCCGTGACATTTACTGCACTGGTTGACCTGCTAGCTATTCCAGATGTGCCAGTGAGAACTGAGAATAAATCTTCTGCTCCCCCTGACAAACCGGCAGGCCCTTTCACTCCAGAGCAGTGGCCACCCAAACTAAGGTGAGAGTTCTCTGTCTGAGACTGCTGCTGGGCCACACAGTGTCACCACAGGGACTACATTGACCGAGCCTTTGCTGCATGTCAGGGGAGAGCTGCTGATCTTGAGCGAGTCCAGCAGTTTCTGAAGGTGGAACTGAATGACATCTTCAGACAGAATCGGGCCTGGGATGTAGACTGGGACCACAAGCCTCTCCCACTGTAAGTTCCCTCTGTCCTGGTTGTCTTTAAGCTGAGAGTGTTTCCCCACAGGGACCGTCAACAGGGGCCTCCCTCTCGTAGCTCTCGCTGGGACACTCCATCCCCCACCCACAGTGATTTCCACAACAGTGGCTCCTACCAGCCAGTCACACCCACTGTTGGTGGGGGTGGGAGAGGCAAAAAGAAGAAGGCAGGCCTCAAGAGAAAGAGGGGAGGGAGGTAAGATGTCTCTCTCCCTCTTGTCCCTGTCTCAGGCTTGGTGCTGTACAGGATGTTCTTCATTGACAAGACAGGAGAAGGAGTGTCGGAGGTGGAGCAGCAGAGACTGGACAAGAGGGCTCTGCGGTTTGCTGATGGGAACAAGAGCTACAAGAAGAAGTTGTCAGTGGCGGGACTGGTGGCAGCCGCAGTAGGTGGCCTTGGTTCATTTGCGTGTCTAATGTGAGTGTTTGTGTTGTTCAGACTACAGGCTCCAGGGAAGAGGGGGACTTGAACTGGGAGGAGTTTGCCATTGAAGGAATGTCACAGTCTCTGGAGAAGCCCTATTTGAGACTGACATCTGCCCCTGATCCCAGTGCAGTTCGGCCATTGTCTGTGCTGCGACTTTCTCTAGCCCATGTGTTGGGGAAGTGGGAGGCCAGGGGAGACTATCGGTACACTTGTGAGCAGTTCAAGTCCATCCGTCAAGACCTAACTGTAAGGTCTTCCTTCACTGTCACACTCTCCTCCTACATTACAAGTCCTCACCTCAGATCCAGGGTATCCGTAGTGAGTTTGCAGTGGAGGTGTATGAGAGTCATGCGAGGATAGCTCTGGAGAATGTAAGTCTGCCACCCTGTGGGCCGCGTGTGTTGGGAGGTTTGTGTGTCTGTGGCAGGGAGACAGAGGAGAGTTCAACCAGTGCCAGGCACAGCTAAAGGCCCTCTATCTCGAGGGTGTTCCTGGGCAGCAGGCGGAGTTTGTGGCCTACCACATCCTCTATCTCATCCTCACACACAACTCTGCAGGTGAGTGTGTGTCTGCAGACTCTCAGGCATCACAGCTGACTGGCTCTCTCTCTGGTCAGATATGTCGACTGAGCTGAGAAATCTGACCTCTGAACTCAAGTCTCATCCGTATGTAGCACATGCTCTTAGGTTGTGGTCGTCATGGCAACTGGGAAACTATTGTCAATTCTTCCGTCTCTTCAAAAGTGCCCCAGGCAGTGGGCGGAGTTTGCTGCAGTTGTTTCTCTCCCGCGAGAGACTCTCTGCATTACGAAAAATTCTTAAAGCGTAGGTCTTCACATAACAGTGTGTGTGCGTGAGAGAGAGTGAGAGTAGAATGTTAGGTCCTTCGCCAGTCGCCAATGGAAGAAATCTTCAATTCTCCGAACATTTTGTCAGGGAAGAAAACGTCAACTAGTGTCACCTCACCAGCCCCTCACCGAGGGCTAAGTCAGTCAGTTCATATCTCCTGTCTTCTAATCTGTTCTCTCCTTCCATTCAGTACCACGCCACCCAATCTCCATGTTCATCCCAAGACCAACCACCCAGAGCTCTTGCCCTGCCTTCTCTGTGTCATGGACATTTCGAACATTGCGACCACTTCAGTCTTGCGTCGCCAGTATTGCTTGCTTTTGTCCTGCCTCCCTCTTTGCGTTGCTCGGCTCTTGCCTCTGATAAGCAGAGACTATACTGGCCTTACTATACTCAATTACAGTGAGTGTGTAGTCTATTAATCTCTCTTTCTTTGCAGGTTCCGCCCATCAGTCCCTGTAGTTCATGTATCTGAAGCACTGGCCTTCTCCCCAGATGAATGCCGGGAGTGGCTGGCTGAGCTAGAGCTGCCTCTGAGTGGCTCAGCTCAGCTGGACTGCAGGGCCTGTCTCTCTCTACTCCAGGCCAAGGCCCAAGCTGATTGAGTCATTCTCTTTATTGTCTCTCTCTTTTATCATCACACTCTTAGTTTCTGTACGGCACCAATGGTTCATAAAAAAATTTTTTTGCTGCATGCCTAGTATATTGCTGATGTGCATTGCCATATATGGTGCATACACTCTTTATTAACCCTCGTTGCACAGATCATGTGTGCATTAGTTGGTTCCGCATTTGTAAGGGACTTAAAATTTGCACTTTTTCCAGTCACATTCATGATAAGAGAGTTCAGGATGACACTCTTGGGAACTGACAGGCATCACAGGCAGCTGAGCCTGGAGCATTCAGTAGAGTACACTGCACACATGACCACTGCTCTCCAGAGGTTGCAGCTGTTGTCGTGGCCCTTGTCGTGTGGACAGGTGATACATTAGCACCAGCCACCAGTTGCTCGATGGTGGACCAGTGCTCGCTGTGTCGCCAGGCATCACCAGCTGCTCTGTCTCCCTCCAGAATGGCTCTACATAGACTGGGGATGTGGGTCTGAGGACAGGGAGAAAAGCAAGTGACAAATTTGGCCAATGGAGGAGGCTAACTTTCATGTGAATTCCAGCAACATCAGATGTAAAGAGAAAAAGGAGGAGATGAAAGTCGGCCATCAAACAGAGGAAGTTGGTGGAGGAGTGTGACTGGCTAGTCAGATAGGAGGACAAGGCATGAGGATCCTGCACACACAGAGAGACTGAGGTCTAGTCAGAGACTCTGCAGCCACTGACCTGGACAGCCTGACCTACTGCGGCCCTGTTCTCCACAGGGAACAGAGGCTCAGCCACTGCAGGCAGCAGGGGCTGGGGGTTACATGGAGACGTAGTGGTGAGCTCAATGATGAGATACTCCAGAGGCAGGGGTCGTGCCTCCTTCATTACATCTGTCCCATACTCCCCCCTGGCCTGAGAAAGCAGCTGACTGACTGACTGACTCCACCTCGTATCAACCCTGACCTTATACAACACATCAGCGACATACTGCTGTGGGGAGGACTCCCTAATGTAGCCCAGTTCCTTGGCATCCAGAGTTGGCAACAGACAGTCGTCTCTCACCAACGACATGCACTGGTTTGAGACCTGAGCCCAGCGTTAGTCCACACGGAACAAGCCACACCCACCTGATATCCTCTGATCTCCACTTCACATTTCTCATTGCCTGAGATGCACAGGGTCGTGAACTTAGACCCAAAGTACCCAGCTGCTGAATGTTTGCAAGGGTTGGGGTACTTGTTCTGCAGATCAGCTGCCAGAATGCACTCTTCAGCAGTTAGTAGGTGAGTATGCTGTGGCAAGAGAGAACGTGTGTGCTGGAACATACCAATGCACTAACATACAATGCTTCTCTTGTAAGCCACTTTCCCACCTCTCCCATCAGGTTCCAGGTCGGTGAATATCCATCCCACCTTCACATGGCGAGACACTGAGTAAAGTGAGTCAATTACTGTTGTTCTCACCGGTTGCAGGTCAAGATGAGCAGCCAGCTCCTCCATTGCGGAGTGGTTTACGTCCTCCAGTCAACTCCACACTGTGGCTGGTGCTCTCCTGGTTCAGAAGCAGTTAGCTCCCAGTGCAGTGAGTGGCACATGTATGTACCCACCTGAGGTGGCTCATAGATAGCACTAACAACTGCCTGAATCCCCAGAGGTACATGATCGTAGACCTCATACTTGCCCAACAAGAACCCAATCCTCTGTCGGCCACTGCGTCGCCATCCATCCAGAAAACGATCCACAATCCCAGTATGGTCAAACATGACATTGTCCACATGTCTGTACAACTGGAGATAAGACGGGGATAGTAAGGGGAGCAGCTAGCCAGCTTCTTACCTGTCTGCTGAGGGTGATTGTACTCGGCTGGCACTTGGTGCAGATCCCAGCAGGCCAGGGTGGGTGGTCCGGACAGCTCTCTCGTATCTTGCAGCGAAGGTCTTCCAAATTCAGGAACTTTCCTCTGTCCACTCCACTGGTCAGCTTCCTCAGGTAGCAGTGGAAGGAGAGGTGTTTGATGGGAGGATCAAATGAAGAGAGGTAGGAGGGGTCCCAGGGGTCAAGGGGAGCACAGTTCATGCATTTCCCCTCAGCTCCGTGATGACACCTGCAGCAACAAGTCATGACTCCTGCCCTCCTCCTGGCCCCAGCTCACAGCTGCGGATCTCTCTTTCTCCTTATCTTCCCGTCTCTCGCCGCTAGCTCACAGTCTACTCGCTCCTCCTCGACGGTCGCCACAGACATCTTATCACCTACTACACCACTAGGCTTCTTCTCAGCCAAGTAGAGCATATCCCCATGCCTGGAAATCACATGACTATACTGATAATCTCTATCTCCTGTCTGACTTGAGGGGTATGCGGCCAAGCTGCAAGCGCAAGTGATGATGAGTCAATTCATCCTTCAGCCCAGGACTGCGGTACAGCGAGAACGTGTCAGTTTCTCGCAACTGAAACTCAGATATCACCTAAAGCCAAAGGGATAACTAACAATTCGCTCTCCCAGTCCCAGCACTTCACCTTTTCCAGGAACCGTTGAAGCGTATCTGACTGCTCAGTTTGTATACGCTTTGTACCATTTTTGCTCTGCACGCGCAAAATCTGAGCGAGAAGATACGAACAGCTGCCAGTTTATGAGTTCAAACTCACCATCTTGAAGGTTCTTGGTGCGCGTTATTTGAAATTAAGATGGACGCGCGTTCTGAATAGTAACGAGTAAGATCAGACAATTCAACAAGAACTAACAGACACAGTGACTACAAGCAGTGAATGAAGTGAATGAAGTGAACCTGTCACAAACGATCAAACAAATTCTTATGTTCAGGATCGTCCCAAGAGCTATCCGAGGCAGCTCCACTGTCAGAGCTGTCACCTCCATCATACATCTGTAGCACCTCGTGAATGTACCTATGTCCATAAAACACAGTAGCAGCTGCTACACCTAGTCAAAAACTTGGCCCACCATCTGTTCCTGTGGCGCTGTCTCCTACGGTAGGTGTAGGTGGAGAGACCAATGACAGCAACTAGTCCCAGCAGGACCAACACCCCACACACTCCAGATGTGATGAGACCCCAGTGACCCCCTTCCTTTCCACCACCATCAGACTGACTAGGAGCTGCCTCATCTGAATACACATCAGTGGTAGAACACACAAGGCTGGGAGCTATAGGTCAGTATGAACTCACCTGGACAGCCGCCCTGTCCCTGTCTGATGGTAACACCATCTCCACAGCAACCATACTTTGTGTCTGCACATGTCTGTACTGCCTTCTCCTCTTTCCCACAAACACTGCAGCACTCCTTGGCAGAGGAAAAGGTGCAGTTGGAGGCAGGTTCGCAGTCTGAGTAACTGGAGGGGTCCAACTCCGTACATAAGCCGCTGCTCGGTGAGTAGTGGAAGTAGGTACGAAGTGAGAGACCGTCAGATGCGAGCGGTTTTATACACCAGAAGCCGCCACCACACATCACTGTCCAGCAAAGGTCTACGAGTCAATCAAAACAGGCCCCAAATCACTTACCATTTTCCGCCGATACACGTAACAGGTCTACAACGAGGACTAATAAACAAGAGAGCCATGCGGCCCTAGCCATGACTCTACTGCTGAGTCGTTCCAGTGCCCCTCTCCTCTCTCTCTCTCAGCGGCTCCTGTGCCTAGCTAGCTAGTTCGTTGTGCTGTGCGAACGCGAACGAACGAGGGTCACATGACGTTCTGGTTTATGCGCATGCGTGGTACCCCGCCCACATATGGAAGGACACGGATGCGAGGTCTTTCTTCCTCTTGCTCCTGACTCAGCTGCTGTGCCCAAAAAGAAGGAATATGCTGTCACCGTGGATCTCAAAAGCTTGTTTTCAGGCCAGCAGTTCTCTTTCCTCCCGGAAGAAGACAGGGAAACACGTGTAGAGGTTCCCAGTAGTCCACATACTATTGAGGAAACTGGCCAGCAAGAGGACCCAAAGACTCTGTTTTTCTTCCACTGGAGCACCCCCAGTCTCTCCAACAGAGAGGAGACTTTATTCACTAGCAAGAAGACCAGAGAGGAGCTGGAGAGAGGCTGGTCAGAACAGAGAGCAGCCATGAAGGTCATGCTGCGCAAGAGCCATCGCCAGGCCACACATAGACACAAACAGACTCCAGTGAAATCCATGTCTTACACCAAAACGTCATAATGATCATTGTATTTATTGGGCGACAGAAGTCTTTAGTTTCTTGGAGGCAGGCTTTCTTGAGTCTCCACTCCCACCTTCAACATCCTACTATTATCACACAAGACACTGAGAGGGGAGATGGAACCTAACTGGGAGGCTTCTGGAGGTCTTTGGGCAGATTCAGAGCAGACTTCAGTCTGTGTGGTGTCAGAATGACCACTATGTCAGAAAAGCTTAACACTCACTCCTCAAATCTCTTTCGCCACTTTTCCTCCTGTTGATGCACCACGTGTGGGTACCTACAACACTCCCTCATTCACCACACTACAGATCACACACAATCTTCTAAATTACTTGTGAATGAAATCCGTGTCAGTTGCCATTTTGAACTCCAGTCCGGAGCCTGAGGTGAGAGAGGCCACCACTTGCCTCACAGCCTCGTGAGGTACCTAAACCACACTCAGAAATGATCAAGGAGGCACTCGTTTACTGCAGACCTTTGTCAGAACTGCTACGTCTTTTCTGGCAAGACATCTGGTCTGGCTGAAGCAGTAGAGCTGGAATAGTGCATGTGCAAGTGACCAAATCTCTCTGAGTTGAACACACAAACCAGATAGTCTCGTGCATCCCGAAGTGAAGCATGCATTTCAGAACGGTAGAGAGTGTGGCTGGACACGACCCAGCAGCCCTGCACCAGTACACCATGCTGCTGGAGTGCCTCCAGGTAGGCGGGGAGCTGGCCTCGCCCACACTGCAGCAGAGAGCTCAGCTGGGCGAGTGTCAATACTCCAGTACTGGTGAGAAGATCATGGACCTATAGACACACACACACAGCCAGTACCCACCAAAACTGCAGTCTCCGAGAGGCTTATAATTATTATATATACCTGAGTAGTGACTGGAAGAGCCTTGAGTTTGGAGAGAGAGACAGCTCCACCTGGTGGCTCACTTGGCTCCCTCTCCTCCTCCTTGCCCTGCAGCGGGCACAGTCTGTTCAGGTAGACGTCAGGTGGTAGGCTGGCAGGTGAAATTGAGTAGTAAGTCAATAGATACCTTATCACATTGCAGGCTGCGCATGTCATTCACAAGCTACAATATGTAATTTGCACAAATCAAGATCTTTTTGGAGTTTGGACTTTACACATGACTGTACCAATAGCATACTTTGAACTGAGCAGAGGACAGTCATCAGAGGAAAAGAGCAGCTTCCTCTCGTCACATGCTTGCTGAGAGGTGAGAGGGCAATAATTCAGGTCTACCCATCCCTCCTGGGAATCTTTTCTGCTTGACAGCTCGCTCCAGGTCACACGCCTGTTCCTGTACATTTGGCCAGTAATGAGAAAAGGTTGGCAGACAGGCTATTTGCCCACCTCCCAACATCTCTGCGGGCAAATTTGACAGTAACAGGTTTTGCTTCTTCGCCCTCACTCTCTGTGGTGTCTCCGTCAGTGGCAGCAAGGTCAGGAGCCGCGGAGCCATGTCTCCTGCCAGCTACAGCCTGGTCCAGGTGTGCCAGACTGGGCCGCAGCTGCACAATCCCTCGCAGAGGAGTGAGGTGGAGCTCTCCTGCACAACAGAGGGCCTGATCACATGTCAGGACACAATCTACATGACTTACCATCTCTAAGGACTCCGACCACATACCTGTGGCTCAGTTGGGTCTGGGGACTGGAGGTCAAGGCATAGTGGTCCATGAATCCACTGTGGAGAGAGTGGTGAGGAACAGCTTGACCACTGGCAGAACTTCACCTGCGGTAGAGCGGAGTGGTTTGAGAGGGAGCCATGTCTGCATCTCTAGCATAGGCCTCTCCCCGGCTGCGGCTGTAGTTCTCCCCATAGGCAGAAACTGCCAACTGCAGCTGAACCTGGTTGCTCTCTGACCTCACTCTAACACTCTGGACACTGGCAGGCTCCACTGGAAGATGGGCTGGCCGCAACGGGTACTGCGAACAAAACAAGTGAACCGCGACTAGAGCAGACGGCTTTACCTGTAGCAGATGCAGTGTTGAGCTAAGAGCCTGCGACAGGAACACATCCACCTGGAAACGTGTGTAAAGGACTCTCTTTATACTCCATCCAGCCACAAACCTCAGCCAGCACAGGGTCTTGCATGGCGCTCTAATTAGAGATGCTTCCATTGCGCTTTAATTAGAATTGGAGATGGCCGCCTCCGTCGTTGAGAGGACAATCTTTTGGAAGACGACACTCCAGCCTTTTAGAGCTATTGTGGTTTCTATTTGGACCACTCTGTCGCTCCAAAAGTCGCTTAGAGCCAGTTTTGGCACATATGCTGCAGTCTTCCTCTTACTCTTGTAAGGCTGGTAGCTACTGATAACATACCAGTTGTTGTCTGTATCTCTTATCACGTCAGAGGTTGCACCCTGCTAGATGGAACTTTTGTTCATCAGTTTGGTCTGCTACTGCTACTCACTGCCCTGTGCTATGCACTGCTAGTTGCTGGGTTGAGGTCTGGTGGCCTGGGACTAGGAGAATCACTGTAAGCTTTTGGAGCCAGTATGTTTTATTGCCAGTTTTCCCCAGTGCATGTGACCAGGAGGCTGACCTGCAGGATGTTTGCATACATCTAGCTACACTGGAGTTGTTAGTGCTTGGTCTTGTGACAGGCATTGTGAGATTGCGTGCACAGAAGCCAGTGACTGTAGGTTCTCTGATGTAATATTTCTCATGATCAATAGTCGAAGTGCAGTTTTATGTCGGTGGAATGTTGTTGGTGTTTTTACTTGGAAGGTTAGGTATGTGGCTGAGCTTTCATGCTCTCCTGTGGACTGCAGGTACATGGTTGCATGCTATCGCACATCAGCTCCTTATTGTTACCATGTCTTCTACTTCAGCTGCCATGCTACTGGCAATGCCTGCTGCACTATCTAGAGGCTGGATGTCAGAGAGAACACTTGAGAAAGTTCAAGAGACAGCCAATGACACTGCCGCAATCGTGCAGGCTTTTATTGACCGTCACACTCGAAAGTGATGTACATGTATGGCTGGCTTGAACCCACTCTGTGTGCTGATTTTTGAACAGGATCAAACACCCAACATCCACTTTTTGGGCAGTAGATCTAATGTGTGTCCGAATTGCTTGTGCATAATTACCGTGGTTTGCAGGGGAAAAACTCCGGAATGGTACGGTGCGGTTGCTGCTGCGCGCATGTGCAGTGTGCGCGTACGACGTGCGCGGCCGGCGGCTGGCTATATAGCTGCACGTGTACGTACGTGCGTATATTTCGGTGCGCAAAAAGAGAAGGGGGCGTGGGGCCGGCCCGGGTGTCCTGTCAGCGTTTCTTCTCCATGGACAAGGTCAAACAGAGCAGAAGTTTAGAGGACATTGCTGGACGGTGGAAGGTACGTTTACTGGCTAGAGCTAGGCATGAATAAAAGTGAGCACTACTTCAAGGTGCAAGATGTTCCAGTGGAAACGGGGCTTCTCGTGGACGATTTAGGGGAGGCAACTGTGGCAGCTAGCCGGGAGCTCAGAGGGTAGGCTAGCTGGATGCCAGACCCTAGGCTCATCACCTGATGTGTAGGTTGGTGTTGGTGTTGGAGGCCCAAGGAGATGTATTGTGGGAGGTGGCACCCATAGCTCATGAAGATGTGCCTCTCTTCGAGACCACCTCAGCTTACCTGCACAAGAACAGCTTGACGTTCCTGGGTGGGGGCCATGGTTGGAGTGTGACATTTGTGGTAGGCTTCTTCTCTCTCTTCTGGCAACACACATGTGTATACTAATGTGCAGGTCAAAGGTGAGCCAGAGAAAGGGTGGATGGTTCTGGAATCAGAGGAAGAAGGTGTTGAGCTTTTGCTCTCACTTGCAAAGGTTAGCTTAATCTCTCATATGGACTGACATTATGGCTGTGCGTGTAATAGGAAAATTCTGTTGTGGAGTTGGTGGATGACCAATTTTCCCTGAGCAGAGCTCTGGAGGAGTCACTTTTCCCTGATATTCATTTTGTGTGCTGTGACGGGAGAAAAGTGGAGGCCCACAGAGCTGTGCTGGCTGCAGCCTATCCTTCCATGGAGGAGAAGGACTGGGAGGCTGTGTTCCAGACCCAGCCACGGGGAAAGTGTTGTCGTCTGCTCTCCTGCATCTACAGTGATTGTCTTCCTGCCAATCTGAAGAGGGAGGAAGCTATGCAGGTGGTTGAGTGGCTTAAGGAGCACCCGTCACTGGAGAGACTGACTTGCTTGGTTACAACTTTCATCAGAGCAAACGATATGAAGCAGAGTAGGTTACCTCAGTAGATGGTGAAACTTGTCAGATACTCATGTGATGTCCTAGGGCTGACTCGAATGATAGATGACCTACTAACTCTTCTGCAAGATGCCAAGAAGACAGTATCCAGTGCAGACGTGTCAGATCCTGTCACGGTGAAATACACACTCAAACAACTCAGCAAAGATGCAGTGTTGGGTGAGTGAGTCTGGTAGGCTGGAAGGAACCTCACTATATGGTTTAATTACAGGAGGAGCAAAGGTCTGCCTCCTCTGCCATATGTATGCTAAGAACAAGAGTGGAATGGGAAAGGCAGATTGGAAAGTGGTGCTGGAGCATCTAAGATTTCGGTATGTGTGGTAACCTGAAGATGGCGAGTGTAGTCTTTGTGTGTGTGTGTGTGTGTGCAGTGTGGTAGGGCTGTTGGACCTGGTGAAGGAAGTGGCGGAGGAGGCTGTAAGGAGGTGGGAGGGTCTTACTCAGGACCAGCAAATGGAGATAGCTACGGAGCTCATCCCTGACATAGAGCAGGTAGGGTTGTGGAAGCTGAGTGATTTGGTGTCAGTGTGCTGTGCACCAGGCATGGGATATGTTCCTCAGCTATGGCAGTACACTGAGCCAGAGTCTCAGAGAAGGGTTGCCCGCTAAGTCAGAGCCTGAGCGAGGAACAACAGTTAGCATGGTTCTGCATCTTTTGTCACATGGCTCTGAACGTAAGAGGCTGCGCAAGATTCGAAAGGAGTTGCTTGAATCGGTGGAAATGGCACAGAGCAAAAGGTTTTCCTAAACTTATAGTGTGTGTATGTGTGATGTGTGATTGGTGTCTGTACGTGTGTGGCTGTTGTATGTGTGTGTGTAGGGAGTGGTGGGAGAGGTGCAGTGAGGAGGAGAAGGCAGGCCAAGTGCTAAATGTGGTGGGAAAGCTGGTAAATGAAATTGAGGACCTGCAAGAAAGCATGGCGGCACGAAAGAGACACTTACTGTTGGATAATGGACTTGAGTGGAAGACATTCCGTTCGTATGTGGACATTGCATGCACATACATGGTTAGTGGCCCAGGTTCCTTGAAGGTAATGTGTTCCCTTCCTTCCTTCAGAGTTGGGGCCTGCAGAAGGTACTGGCATTAAAGGACTCAGTGAAGCAGTTGTTACTCGATGGACTGCAGTTCGTTGGCAAGTCAGAGGTTAATGAAGCTGCTTTGTGCTTGGGTCTGCTTGAAGCCGAGGAGTTGGAGTCACTGGTAGAAGAGGATGGTGGAGAGAAACTTGCTGAGCACCTCTTTTCTCTTGGACTGGCGAGTCCTGTATTTGCCATAATAATGGTGTAGTTTCATGAGTAACTGTCATTCGTAGCCAGGGCCTCGGAGATCAACTGAGAGTGCCTTGGCTCAAGGCTGTGTAGAGCTGGCTGCCTCCCAGCAGTTTGCTGACATGGAGTTTGTGCTAGGGGAGACGGTTATTCCTGCACACAGAGTCATCATGGCCTCTCGCTCCAACTGGGTCTGCCAAGCTCTCCAGTCTGGCATGAGAGAAGCCACAGAGAGGTATAGTTGTAGTCATTGCAGTAGATGTGCAGCCCTAAATCCTTCTCATCAGGAGGATCATGGTATCTGGTGTTGACGAACATGCCTTCCACCTCTTAATCAAGTTCCTCTATGGTGCCCCCTTGAGTATCACAGCAATGAATACAGAGACAGTTTTTGAGCTAATGGTAGTGGCTGACAGGTGGGAGTGTTTAGCCCCAGTTACAGCTTGCAAAGGCTCTCCCAGTACAGGTACGACAGTCAATACTTGGCACAGGCTTGTGAAAGGCAGCTGGTGTCTCGAATCGAAGATAGTTCCGTGTTTCAACTGCTGACTGTGGCTGAAACGCTTGGAAAATCTCTTAGGGTGTGTTTTAACCCCAATAGTGCAATCCCTACTTTGATCTGTTAACTTTTCCTTGATATAGGAAGCATGCCTGAAGTACATTTTGCGGCAACCTAATGTGATAGTAGATGCAGATGGTTTTAGTTCTCTCACTGAGGAACTGCAGCAGGAGATCCGAGAACTGCTGGCGGCTCAGAACCCTGCACTAGCTCTCAGGCATTCCCACCCTGGCCCAGCTGTGAGTGGTGACTAGGCGTTGCAACCTCTCCTCAGTGCGCCACTCATGTAGGCTGCAGGGTCCAGTAGCAGCAGTCAGGCCAGTAGTGAGGATGAGGAGGAACTGCAGCCACAGTCTGGAGCTCCAGAGTGGGACGAGGCTCTGGATAACCTTCGGGGAGTGCTGGGGCCAGATATTGATGATGACGTTTTAAGTGACCTTTTGCTAATGGCAGATATGGACATCAATAGAGCTGTGAACTACTACCTTAATACATTGTGACTTTGTTGTGTGTGTGTATGATGTGAGAGTGTGCATGAATGTTTCAAGTCAAGGTGTGATAGTGGCAGAGTTACGGATTAGGTTGAGGAAGGAGGGCCAAGCAGTGCAGTTGGCAACATCTTCCACCTCAGAATTGCCCCGTCCACACTCACACTCACTGCATGGCAGCCATTAGGAGCTACCTTGACTTTGGTGACCTCTGCACTGTGACCTATACCAATGTGGGTCACCTCACCACGGTCGTAGTCCCACACCTGGTGTATAATGTATAATCATTCACTGAGGGTGATGTCTGTACTGAGGAGCTGCACCTTTATCAACTTGTCTCCACCTCCAGTAAGAAACCTGGTGCCATGAACATCCATGCCATTGATGGAGGCTGATTCACTGCCGTCCAGTTCTCTGATCTGACTCCCATCGTGTGTCTCCCAGTAGCCTATCTGTTGTATATACCAGTATGTTGGTAGCTGATGACAAGGTCTGTGCTGTTTACCTTCCTGTCAGTGCCTGCAGTCACAATCTGGCACTCATCAGGCCGGTAGCACACAGCGTGGAACATTGTGTTGGCAAATATCACTTGGCTACGAACCAGCTTTCTAAAGGAGCGATGTCAGGTGCAGTAAATCTGTGGACAAAATGAAACTTTCTTACATTAGATCCCAGATGATACAGGTACCATCAGTGCTGGCTGTCACGCACTAAAAGAAAGGGGAACACCAATGTATCAAAAAGAATAAGGTGTACTGTCTCATGAACCTCTTCGTCATTGTTCCTCAACTTGATACATGTAACAGTTCCAGTGTGCTCCTTGAGAGCAGCCGTCATGTGCTGTCCTGACTTGTTCACCTCCCACACCCTCACCTGCCCTTCTCCTCCGCCACTTATCACTGTACGGCTGTCTGACATACACGCCAGAGCTGTCACTCCCTTGTTGTGGGCATCACTGATGGTGTACATTGGCTTTCCTGACTGGGGGTAGAAAGCCCTGATCTTGCCATCATCCCACGCTGAGTTGAGATGGCTAGTATGACACTGAGAGATACTAGAAGTCACTTGGTTACCAGTTATAATGGCTTTCCCATTAGGTGTGAAAGCAACAGCATGACAAGTGACGTTGGGAGTAGAAAGTCTCAGGAGCTCTTTGCCTGTGTCAGCATGCCACACTCGAACATCGCTATAGCTACTGGTGGCAAACAGGTCACTTGACTTCCTGTGGAGGGAATTACGTATATTGGCCTTATGAAAAATTAATGATTGTATATTATAGGACTAGAATACAAAAGACTCACTGAGGGAAACAGACGTCAGTGACTTTACTGCAGTGGGAAGAGGAGATGAGCTGTGGAGAAAAGCTCTCAAGTTCTACCACATATCTCTGGGAGTTGCCGGTTCCCACATAGAACTGAGTGTAATGGAGTGCCAAGGTGAAAGACCTGAGATAGTGGCTGACATTCCTCACCTGTTTGCTGTCCTTGCTGAGAGCAATGGAGGACACAGTACCAGAGACCCTGGACATGGTTCTTGTTCTTTTAAGGCTTGGCAGAAGAGTTGTGAGGGTACCCTCACCTGACCCGACCAGCATGCCTCCATTTGGCAACAGTTGGAGGGATTGGATGCCACAGCTAAGCTTGTTCTTCTGTGGTCCATAGAACTGGATGAGCCGTGTACTGAGGTTGACCTGTTAGTACAGAGCAATCGATGTGACGATGAAGACAGAACTATAGCCTGCAGACTTGCAGAACATCTCCGCTTGAAGTTCCACAGAACATATAGTCGTCACCAGGGGCTATCTGGATGCAGTGCACTATCCTCTTCAGCTGGCCAAGGTTACAGTCAGTAGCCACAATTTTACGAGTCTCTGGACTCAGCTCCCACACACGCAGAGTGTGGCTGTGTGTTGGTGATGTTAGAGAGTATCTAATCTAAGAAGAAAGACATACTTTCCTCCAGTCACAAACAGGTCATCTCGAGTGTTGCAGAAGGCAAGTGCATAGACAGGTCCAGCACTCTGCATGGCAGCTTGACTTCCACAGACTGCCTCCTTCTTCTCCAGGTCCCAAATCACCACACTAGCATTGGGTTCGACCCAACAGAAAGAAGGGAGAAGAGGAGAAGGGAGAGAAATGACAATAGCAACAACAATACACATTATACCGTCCGTGGAAACTTCACCTGTTGTCATCTTGACCTCCTAGTGATGCCATATACTTGTCATTGGGTGAAAAGGACACTGCCTGTACTTTAACCATATGGAGGGTCAGTCGACAATAAAGTGCTCGCTCCTTGAACTGCCACACTATAACATCAGCCTTGAAACCCATGTGTGTTACCTGCATACAGGATTCTGTGCATCACTGATAGTAGAAGGTTCACTTTGGCTCACTTGACCAGAGGCCAAGAAATTCCCAGATGTGGAGCAAGCAAGACATGACACGCTATCAGAGTGACCTGACAGGAAACTCTGTTTGTTTTTCTGGATGTCTTCTACAATCACAGTACAGCCAAGAGGGTATATGATGTGCTGCCCATCTGGATGGGAGACTAGTCCCCCAGGAATATTTCCTAGAGAAGAATGCAGACCTTCTGCATTTTTTCACACTAAAGAATGCAAACCTCCAAATCCTATCACGGACACGAGCTCCAAGCTCTGCACATCAACAGCTTCGCCCATTGTCGGCTGTTGTTTCTATGGTGATCGTGATCCTGCGCATGCGCATGGGCGCGGTTGTATCACAAGGGGCCGGGAAGGGGTGTGGCGTTCTTTACGACGGTTCCAGTCGAGCTCCAGTAGCGGTGGGCCCGGTCATGTCCCTGTGGCAGCGGCAGAAAAACTGGTGGAGTGAGGTTGTGTGGAAACCTAAAAAGGCCCACTCACTGGAGCAACTGAAGTGAGTTGTTGGACGACGTCTCTCCTTTGCCTATTGCTAGCCCCTTATCGTATATACCTTTTAGGTACCAATATCAGGTACTGACGAGAAACCAAGTCGTCACTGAGGCAAACAAGAATCTTTTAGTTGAGACGTTTCGTTCCATCGCGGAGATCCTGATATGGGGAGACCAGAATGACTCGAGAGTCTTTGAGTAAGCGCCTGACGTACGTCTATTTTACTACCTCTGCCCTGTCTCTGTAGCTTCTTTCTTGAGAAGAATATGCAGCAGTTTTTCCTGAAATCACTCAGCCAAAAATGTGGCCGATTTGTGTGTCTCCAACTGTTGCAAACGCTCAGCATCTTGTTTGAGAATATTCGAAATGAGACATCCATATGTGAGGGTGTTCTCTCATTGTCTTTGTCATCTCTACATAATATTCTTCACACAGATTACCTTCTCTCAAACAATCACGTCAATTCACTGATTGTACTTAGACTTGATTTTTCGGATGAAGAAGTGCTGGCATATTACATCTCATTCCTTAAAACCTTGTCCTTCAAACTAAACACTCATACAATCCACTTCTTTTATAATGAGGTATGTGCAGTAGATATTTTATGACTGAAAGTGTGTGTCATGTTTTGCAGCATCTGCGCGACTTCCCCCTGTATACCGAGGCCATCAAGTTCTTTAACCATTCCGAGAGCATGGTCCGTATTGCAGTTCGTACTTTGACCCTGAATGTTTTCAGAGGTATATACTATAGTGTAAAACCCATGTTGGAGAGTTTGCATTGTCATTGTTTGAACGCAATTTTTTGCAGTGAATGACACTCAGATGCTGGAGTATGTGTGCAACAAGACCGCTGCTCCCTTCTTTTCAAACCTGGTGTGGTTTATTGGTAATAATGTGATAGAACTGGACGAATGTCTTCTCTCTCAGGCCCAGTTAGTCCCCCCTCTCGTTTTGGTGTTGCATTCTCTCTCTCTTTCTCTCTGTATAGCCATTTGAACAGAGGCAGACTGGAAGGACTGGTGGCGGGCAGCACCTGGACCATCTCTATTACATCAAGGACATCCTGTGTTTGGGGCTGGACAGCCTTAGCTCTGTTCTAGCTGACCAGCTCCTGAATCGACTTCTCATTCCCCTCTATGTCTTCTCCCTCACTGACCAGAGCCCCTTCCCTGAAGGAGTGAGTGATCTTTCCTTGTGTTCCTCCAACTGATGACCTCACTGTTGTGCTGCAGCAAGAGAGCCCTCGCATCAGTGCCACTCTGGCTCTGTTCCTACTTGCCCAGGTATTAACACCTTTAACCGTGGTGTGTTACCAGTATGGTCTGTGCAGGTGTTCCTGGTACTCTCTGAGTCTGACGTGGTTCTGCCTCTGGCCTATGTCATATTGACTGGCGACACATCTCTCTCCTTACCATCTCTGCTCACTCACTCAAACCCAGTGAGTAATGGCAATCACCTTGTGTTTAGTGTTTTGCAAATATAATTATGTCCCAGTGTCAGCGCAAGGAGAATACAGATGACCCTCTCTTGTCCCACCAGTGGTCGCGACTGCGGGACCAGGACCCTCTCTTCAGTCGCCCAGCGCTCTAGTGCAGCCAGGAGTAGCCAGCGCCTCGGCCCACACGACTGGGCTGGAGGAGAAGAGGGGATGATGGAGAGGGTTCCAGCACGGAGTCTCAGGCTGACTTACATAACATGCCGCCAGGATATGTGGATCATGTGGTGGATGCTCAGTACCCTGAGTATGTTGTGATTGAAGCCTCACCCAGAGAAACTGGTGAAGAGGTAGGCAGGCTGGACATGTTTCGTCCTGTCAGTGTTCCTTTGTGCTGCAGGTGCTTCCCTCCCCATCTCCTGTGCCCCCACCAGCAGAGGCTGCAGCAACGTCATATCACACACACACTCCTCGTCACAACCTACCCATCACCAGTACCATGTTCTTAGATGCCCTGATGAGTTCACTTTCAGCACGAACTGATGACCAACGTTGCCTGTTCACTCTCTGCCTCCTCTACGCTCTTGTTCAGAACAAAGGTGAGAATGTAGTTTTAGTTGGCGAGTGAAGTGAACCAACCTATTAGTCTGAATTGTGACGGCACTGCATTCTACGTGAGTCTTAAGTACGCAAAAAAAATTGAACAAATCCTAAATAAGCGTGAACTCACTTGCCAAAATGCGTGGCATTAAAGTGCTACTGGTATTGGTTGTAGGAGTGCATCGTCCACTGCTGGAGGCATTCTCTCTTTTACCGAGCCCTAATGTGAGTTCACCCCATCTTTAACAACGAGTAGTTAGATTTTTTGTGCAGGAGGAGGATGGGCTGTGCTACAATAGTGAGTTGGTGGTTCTGTTGCTGGCCCTGCTGGACACTGCCACAGCCTCAGGTCTGATCTCTACTCTTGTCAACCCATCACGACTGTCACATTTGTTAATGTTTTTCTTTTGATGTTAATTTTTGGTTAAGGGTATTTTTTTTTTAATTTCCCCCCGCTTTGTTTGTTGTCTTATAGTACCTTTTTTCACACTTTACCGCTGTTGTATTTCTCGGTTGTTTTTTTGGGTTATTTTTTTAGTGGTGTTTTTTGATTCACCATGTAACCCATATACTTTTAGTGGGGTGTTTTGGTAATTATGGGGAGCTGTTTGTCCTCGTTTGAGATCGTGTTTTGATTGTTTTATTATATGTATCCGTGTCCCGCCTTTGCCGCCGCCAACCCTTTCCGCACTGTAATGCTCGAAACGGGTTGAGGGTGGGTCGATAATGTTTTTTGTTTGAGGGGACTGAGGAGGCGCGCCTGTATGAGGTTCACCGCTGGTTTGTTATTTCGCCCGTTACGTGCAGGGTTTATTGGGTCTGGGATGGACTTAGGTCTGTCCCTTGTTGGGGGGAAAGTATCAAGGAGTTCGATATTTAGGATAGCAAGCCCTTTCTTTGAGCCCGCCGACTTTAGAAGTTATTTTTATGTTTTGTTCTGCCTCTTTTCGCGGGATACGGGCACGGATAGTTGTGAGGCCCATTAATTATTACAGGGATGTTATCAGAGACAAACTTATTGTTGGTTCGAGGAATATATATTTCACCGTGTTGATAATCCCTGGGTGGGGTGGTGTTTGTCGGCCCTGTGTTTATTTGTATGTTGATGTGGCGAGATACTAGATTTTAGGACGCTTAATTGTTGATAATCTTTCATCGGGTTAGTACGGTGGATTGGTTAGACCATCTGGCTAACTTTTTTTTATTTGATGGTAAGAAAGTTCCCAAGGGGTAGGAATGGGGTAGAAATGTGGGGTTACTAGGAAATTCAAGAATTTGTCTGCCCCACGGCGTGTATTAGTTTTTTGGATGAGAGTACGCTTTCCCCATGCATGTGTTTTCCACGCGCAGGGGTGTAGTATGGTAGATGGGAGGGTGTGTGTGTGGGAAGGGGATGGGCTGTTTTTTAAATGGGTTTTGCGGATGCGCCGCGCCCTCCTATAGTGTCCTTGTTGCGTGACCACAAACCCACCCCCTGTTTCCATTATGTAGCATATTTTTAAGGTTTGTAGATCGTATTGTTTTTATAGTTTTTTGCTGGGCTTTACGGAAAAAGTGAAAACATGTATTGCTTCTTACTCCCCTGTACTGAATTCGGGGTCAGTCCTATAGTTTTAGGGTATGTCGAAAATCACCGCCGTGGTGTTCTCCCATTCTTGGTGTAGGGAATGCAGTGCGACTGGTCACACACCGTCTCACCATTATGCTGTTAGACAAGGCGTTGTGGGTTCCTGGGCTAGGTTTTAAACTACAAGACAACCATGTGGCTCTGTTGGAAAGTGTGTATGAAGCAGCTCTCTTGCAGCTACGGTTCTTCTACAAGGGAGCGCGAGATGAAATATTTTTGGACATGTTTGAAGATGAGTATCGCAATGAAGAGGTGGGTTTTAACTGTTAGATATGATACAGAGACAGTATTCTTGTGTGTGTGTGCAGGCAATGGAGGTACATGTGCAGTACTTGCTGCAAGAGGGCTCCATGCTCTTGCCTCCAACAGACACACCTCTCACAGGCATTGAGTTCACTCGACGACTTCCCTGTGGGGAGACTGAGAGAGCAAGGAAGGTATACATAATGACGTCATCTTGTCCTGAGGAACCAATACTGTGTAGGCCATGCGAGTGTTCTTTGCTACTCGGAGACTGTGTCAAAGATTTCGAGGACAAGGTGAGAACGAACTTCCACTGACTAACCCTAAGAATTCAGCCACCAGAGACGATATAGTTGACCTAAGTGAGTTGAACTGCTCTTCAATGAATCCTGAATGACTCTGTCAACATCTGCAGATAACTGTGATCTTGTGTCGTGCTCGGTCACAACTGGGGAGAGGTACAATTTGAAAGGCACACTGAAGGTGTATTCATCTCCATTGTCTGTGTGTAGGTCAGTGTCTCATTTTATGGTTGTCACTGAGAGTGAGTTTCTGCTGGTGGATCCTGACAAGTCAAAGATTGGGTGGGGTGTTGTCCATTTCATATCCTTCTTGCAGGTTAACTGACTGTACCGACTTTTGGGTTTGTTCATTGTTTGTGTGTGTGCATTATGACTTTTAGGATGTGGATGTATCGACAGATCCCGCCAACAGCTGTGCACTGTTCATCACAGTCCATAGCCATGGAGGTCAGAGCAGACGACCTGCCCTCTCTGCCAAGTTTCAGTTTGAAGACCACATTAGATGTGTAGCTGCCCGACAGTGCCTTCAGAGAAACAGAGAAAATCTCAGACTGGCTAAAATGACACGAATTGCAAAGTTGCTTCATCTGCCTGTCCCTGAACAGTCATCAGATGCTGCCAGTCTAGGACTAGTCTCCATGGAGCAGGTGTCTTCGGTTGGCTCTTTTCTACAGCTGTCCGCCTCCCCTCGCGGTGACCTCTTACGTAGTGGTCTGCACCAAGGTCTCCAGGAGCCATCTTCACCTGACAACATTCCATCTCAGAACATTGAAATGGATCAGTTCCTCTCACGCAGCTCCCAATCTGAGTCCCTGTACGAACCAAAAGAGAAGAACGCAGAAAATACTAGTTGTGTTGGTGAAGATATACAAGTTATTTGACATGTACTCACATTACTAAGATCATCATGAATAATGCCCACCCCCATAAAGTGGTTGGTATCACGTGTATATATCACAGTATGCCATTTTTCTTACTGAGTGTATATAAAATTTGGAGTGGTGGAATAGCATCTAGTGAATCAGGCTGTATACCTAAACACTTTTTTTTACTTGCGATTTCCTTCAAGACCACCCCTTCCGACAAGGGTTTGAACAGTTTTGCATTTATTGTACATTTGTAAGTTAATGAAACGACAAACCAACAATGCCTAACAGTTTGACTATAGTTGTAGGTTGGAATAGCGATACTATCTAGCTGTACCTAAACACTATTTTTCTAGCAATTTCCAACAAGGGTTTGAACAGTTTTGCATTTGTTGTACGCACATGAGTAAACGAAACGACAAACCAACAATGCCTAACAGTTTGACTATAGTTGGAGGTTGGAATAGCAAAACTATCTAGCTGTACCTAAACACTTATTTTTTTCCAATTTCCTTCTTTACCACCCTTTACAACAAGGGTTTGAACAGTTTTGCATTTGTTGTATGCACATGAGTAAACGAAACGACAAACCAACAATGCCTAACACTTTGACTA